ACTGAATCATTATAATATTGTCTAGGGATTTTGCAGAGTAACCATTCTAAAGCAAATTGGTTTTAATATTGGATCTCTTTTAGTTTTAATACTGAATCATTGTCTACCACATTCAAAGTAACGATGGATGTCACAAGAAACAATTCAACTTATTGGTTGAAGTATTTGACGATATTTTGCTTACACAACGAATATTATTATACCAAAATTATACACTGACGAATATCAGTAGTTTGACGAATATCAGTAGTAACAATAATATACATCGCCTTATAATAATATCTCCATTTAAATATTAAACTATATTTGTTATTTTGAATCATTATGACAAATGATATCATTAAGACACTAATAGAATACCAACACAGATTATTAGTTAATTATTATGTAACTTTCACCTTAACAGGATTTTATTGTCATTGTCTATATAGCAAAACTGCTTCATCAGGACGGGTAACAATAGCTTGGTTTTTACAATATATGTACAGGGTGTCCTCAATTAAATGACACGGCTTTCAAAATAGTTTTTTTAGATCGTATAATAATTTTCTTATGTGATTTTGTTTTTCAATTAATTCAAGTCTATAAATTCTTTCCTTTTAGTGAATCACCCTGTATCTGTTGCTGTTGTGTAAAAAGCTACAGGGTTAAAATCTACGAATATTTGAAAACTTAAATAAATTGACGTAAGTGTAAATATTTTTTTCTAAAAATAGCGAATAAAAAATATTGCATTGTTATTCATTTTATTGTTATTTTAGATTTTCTTTGAGATTGTTATAGTAGCTATTGTTAATTATTGTTAATCAGTTGTAATAGATGGTTAAATACCGGAAGCAAAACAATTTTTGTTAATAAACCAACAGAATATATACCGGGTGCGTAAAAAGTGCCTCATCCCTATAACTTTTTATTTTTTCAGATAAAACAACGAGATTTGGTATGTTGGTCTATGACATAAATTAAGATTGATTGACACATTCAATGATTTTCGATCACTTCCGGTTTAACGGGAAATGACTACAACTTTTGGTTTTAAATGGCATCCTCGGTATTTTTTACTTTATTCGATAGAAAATGACACTCTGAATAGAATGGCATATCATATGTCAACTTTTGACATTTTCGCATATGATTTGTTTGAAATTGTAACATGCGGTTCATAACGACAATTTGACTCGAAATACCAAGTGTGGTATCAAATTATTCGTAAAAAAATGTTTTTTTCAAAGATGCTAATGAGCCACCCTCGTTCCATTTGAAAAAATTGAAATATAATTAAAAATACGATTTTGGTATCTTTTCACTGGCCAGAACAAGACACCAAAAACATTAGACGATCAAATCTATTTTTCCAAGGCTCCTTGATTAAAATTAGTGTTTTTAACACATTCAGCCATGGCACTCTAGATAAAAATTTAAAATACCATTTGTTTTTAATAGAATAGTTCAAAAGTTGACACATTATATGTCATTCGATTCAGAGTGTCATTTTTCTATCAAATAAAGTAAAAAATACAGAGGGTGCCATTTGAAAATCAAAAGTTGTAGGCATTTCCGGTGAAATGGGAAGTGACCGAAAACCATTAAATACGTCAATAAATCCTAATTTATGTCATATACTAACCTACCAAATCTCGTTTTTTTATCTGAAAAAATAAAAAAGTAGGGTTGAGCCACTTTTCGAGACGCACCCGGTATAACTATAAATATTTCAATTGTGGTTTTCTTGGGTATAGGTTTCTTTATTAAAAATTAAATAATCTCTGGGTGTTTTTAAACCATTTGTTTGCCGACGTTTCGATTTTTTTTGCATATCTTTCTCAAGGCATCTCAGATGTTGTTTCGGCCGTTGAATTCTTATATTCAAGTACCGTACGACCCCAATTTTTTTTATTTTTAGATAAAAAAAATAATTTCTTCATAATATCGCAACAGAGGTAGTAAATTAAATTTACAAAAAAGGAAACTCAGTAAAGATCCAGTGATTCTAAAAATTTAAGCAATAAACATTTTTTTTGGAAATTTTAAGTAAAATAGCTCTCTTATTTTGGAGTTATTTGGAAAACGATAAAGAGAAAATATGTTTCTTTTATCAAGACCTACCAGCTCTGAAAATATTTGCACTAATTTAAGACTCACCCTGTATATATACTTTTATTAGGGCGATTAATGTCTAGATATTTTCAATATTTATCTAATAACTCTTGGTAAGATAGGTTCCATACTGTTTTTTCTAAATATAAAATTGATCGCGAAAAAAAATGATGTAAGATATTCAAGAAATATGAGGCATTCCAGAGATGAATTTTATTAAAAAATGTGTCATTGTTTATAGCTATTAAACAAAATTTAATAGAGACCAAATTTCTTTTTGGTTATTTTAATAATCAAGATTTGTTTAGATAAAATTTGCCAATGTTCTTTGTACTTGTAAATTTGAACAGTGAATCTCCTCATTCTCATAATAATAGAGGATATAGAGAAGAGAATAAAAGTAGGAAGACAAAATGCATTAATATTAATATATCTATAATTTTAGTTATAAAGTTCTTATTTTAGAAATTTTTATTTATTATTATTATTTTTCTTTACTAAGATTATTTTAATTTAATATGATTATTAATGTAACTGCTTTGTGTTCTTTACTTCTGGTTTGTACATCTTGAGTACCTTCAATTTGTACAGTAAGTTTTGCCTATGTATAATCGGTGAAAAAAATAATTCATTAATCTAGCTAATTAGACTAAATAAAATTGATACTCCATTAAAAAAAAGTATTGTTACAGTTAATTAGATAGTTTTAAAACAGATAAACTGATACATATATGCGTGTTACATTTCGCGTGGGTGGCAAATATGTGGCATGAAATTTATTATATCAACAAGCATTAGGAATAATTAATTATTAATTTAATGTTATCTCCTTCCTGAGTGAGAAAAACATGTTTAGAAACATGCCATCAAAAAAAATAGTTGACTTCTAATAAAAATATGATTAAAATTCTCGTTAAAATTTTACCTTTTTTATTATTTAAAGTTTTGTTTTTACTAAAAAGATTTAATAAAAATTACCTGAAAATGATTTGTTCAAATTTGTTTGGTATCATATTGAGGAAAATATACTCTAAAGCACAAGAAAAAATAAAATAGATGTTAATAAAAATAAAAAAAAATAATTAAATAAAATAATATTAAAATTAAATAATAAATAATATAAAAATTAATTGGTTTGCTTGATCTAATTTCTTATTCATTTTCTGAAAAATTCGTGTAAAATGATCATATTATACCAACTAAAATTAATATGGTATTTCCTATGAACACTTTGACCACACCTTACAAAAAGTATAAGAAAAATTATTACGATTTCATTCGACTTCAGTGAAAAACTAATTAAAAATCTTGAATTAATATATTAAAATTATCGTAGTATTTCCCATAATTAATGTGACCAATATCCGACAGCTGCAAATCGGAAAAGAGAAGTAGTTTTCGTATACAGGGCGACCCTGAAAAAGTTCGGTATCAGATAATTTTTTCTTTTTTTTAAGACTTGAGATTTTTACCCAAATGTTTTTTGTAAAAATTTGGAAAAAAAATCCACAGATAATACAGGGTGATTTTTGAATTGTTTTTTTTTAATAAAATGCAACCTGGAATAATTATGGTAAGATAGATAAATAGTGAACAAACATAGATTTTGAAAATATAATAAATAGTTATCAAAACAGCTGAAAAAAAATGATGTTCATTTGGATTAAAAAATACGCGATGTTCCATTTGAAATACCCTGTAGTAAAATACGATATCTATACTTTTTACTCGCCTTGTACAGGGTAGGTCAAACGATAGTAAAGTTAATTTTTTCACATATTTTTAGAATTATAAAGAAACCTTAAATAGAAAAGTGAGGGAATGTTAAGACATACAATTTAAAATTATTTCTAAGTATACAGGGTGCTTCAAAAATTGTGGCTGATATAACATAGTATTTTTTCTTTTATTTTTAGATTCTACCTAACAACTTCCGTTGCACGTCATCAGTGACACCATGCGTCGTCTTATGGAGTTTGCTGGTGGTCGTATTATGATGTGCAACGAAAGTTATTTTAATTTCCTTATATGTTATACACCTAAAATTAGTAGTTTTTATAATATTTTAAATTATTTAAAAAAATATTACATTTCAGTATGATGATTTTGCCAAGAAATTTTTATAGAGATGCAGTAAAAGATATATGTAAAGATATTTGAGTTAAATGGTACAGGGTGTTCAAAATAAAATTAGGAATTGCGACAAAAAAATTAAAAAAATAATGTTTTTAAATGTCTCACCCTATACAATATACACATATTATTATTTTTTCTGATAGTTTTTATAAAACCCCCCATTCAAGTTTTACTAACTATATCATACAGCTATTTATGTATCTTAACCCCTACAACTTTTCTATATAACATTTCTTGTAAACGTCTACTCTATTGTTGACTCACTCTGTATAATATATCATGCAGTATTGTATATTTTAATACAATTAATATATGAAGGAAAATTAATATAACATAATTTCAATTTAAAAAAAAATGTTAATTTATAATTTGTTGCAAAGCAAATGCTCAGAAAATGTGGTGTAAAAATATTCATATTTTGAAAACCACTCGGTATAGATAATGACATTAAGATATTTTTGGAAAAAGAATTACATCGTAAATCAACTGAATGAAAAATTATACAGCATTTATTTATTAAAAAATTTTAAACAACTTTAGTGTCAAATATATTAACACCCCCGGTATATTTATGAAAGTATCTTTAAAATGTTCGCTACTATTGTGCATATATTCAAAAGACTGGGCCACCGTGTATATGTCCAATTATTTTGAATACAATATTATACAAAATGAATTTGAGAATATTTATTGTAACTTTTTTTGTATAATTCCCTTTTTATATTCTTCTCTGTACGTATAAATTAATTAATTTATCTATTACAAACCTTCAGGATCCTCGATATACGTCGAATAAGTCTGATCTTGAATCTCAATCCCACGAACAAAAGTATCTTTACAAAACCCACCTCCTACGAAACTCTGCCCATCAGGACAGCATTTTTTGAAACACCTAGCATCATCGCAAATACTCAAATCTTTCCTGCACTGCCTCATCAACATCTCACCACCTTGATTCCTGTCCAAACATATTGTTCCTGGCTGTTTTGAACCCAAAACCGATTTGATATCCAGATCATTTGGAAGTATTTGATCGTAAATCATGTAAAAATATATAAATTCAGTCGTTTCAGAGTTTAGATAATTTAGATTGTTTTACGCTTGGGGCAACGACCTAGCTACGTCGAAACACCGGTTTCCGATAGATCACCGAAGTTAAGCGACGTTAGATGGTGCGAGCGGATGGACGGGTGACCAGACCGTCTGGAAACTCTATCGTTCTGTTGTTCCATGACAAGAGTGTAAAATCTATTGACATACACTGCTTATTCACGCCGGTTCGAGGCCGGATGCGATAGGATATCCCATGAGTAAGAACGCTTGCATGCACACCGGCAAAATGGGTACCGGTGCCGGTGCTGAAATCTCCTTCACATATACTCCGATCCGGTAGTATAGACCGTCAAATACAATAGAATTAGAGCGCTTGCACACACGCCGGCAAAACCGGAACCGGTGCCGGCGCCGGCTTCAAAAATTTGCCCTGTATTTCTGGAACTAAGGAGGCTAGGACAAACATATGTGTAGCACATTTAGTTTCAAAGAAAAGTAACGTGAAATTCGCATCGTTGTATCTCTACTCATAAACGAGAAATCCAATAAAACACACGAGTAGTCTACCGGCAGCCTGACGGCCCGCACTTTGGTCAGAGCACACTTTTTTTGAGCATAGCAAAAGTCATATTAAAGAACCAACTTCCTTAAATTTATCGTTTTTCCGACGTTGCTAGCTCTTGTACTATTATATTTTTAATAACTTTAGATTAACTTTGTAAAAAAAGTGTCAAAACGTCCGTTATCGTTCAATTTTTCTCCGTTGACGGGCCGACTTAGTTTCTTAAGCTTAAGGCGGAAATACCGTATGATCGAATAAAAACGGCGTCAGCGATGGCTATGAAATGAAGATCGCTGTCATTTTATATGTAAAATTATATGGGAAATGTCAGCGATCGTCATTTCCCAGTCAACTGGACGCCGTTTTTTTTCGATCATACGGTATTAGAAGACTGAGGTAATATCTGTAGAAAGATATGTATTTTTAATTAATGGTTAAAGGCTTTTTCTAATTACTTCTATCTCGGTAATTAATAGATTCCATTAATATAATTGTCTGATTATAACCTAATTTATGAAACAGTAACAGCGATCTACATTTCATCGTCGTCATTTAATAAACCATTTGTTTCTATTATTTTTCCTTCAAATTTTGAGGTGTGGTTCTAATTTGCTCTAATGCACACATCAAAAAAAGGTATTTTACAGTAAATCTTCTTAAAACAGTTATTTTTCGTGGAAATTTAGATACTTTTAGATAGAAGCGATTTAAATTCTTTACATTATTTAGTTTTATTAGTGAGTTTTGTCTCTAAATATAAATAAAGTCGTTATTTCACGGAAAATACATTTATTATCGGATTTAATATTCATTAAAATATCCACAATTTTCTTAAAAAAGACCGTATGGTGCATCGGAACACAGGACATAGGAAATCCCCTGCAAATCTCCCCAGATAATTTTATGCAAATGTTGTATTAGAGTTTTTTAAACAGGCGTTAAAGTTATACTTTCGTCTAGGATTTCGTTTTATTTGAAATAGGCATTTAAATGTTATTTGCAAAAATCCACCTTCAAAATACTAAAATTTTATAATACGACCCAGAGAAAACTACAGTTAAAATAGCAGCAAAAATATGATTCTGTCATTGTCAAATTCGATGTCACTTTTTAATATTATAAACATAGATTATAGTCTTTTATCTATGTTTTAATTGTAGCTTTCTCTGAGCCATATTATAAAGTTTTAGTATTTTGAAGGTAGATTTTTGCAAATAAAATTTAAATGTCGATTCCAAATGAAACGATATTCTAAACAAAATTACAACTTTAACGCCGCTTCAAAAAAGTCTAATACAACTTTTGCATAAAATTATCTGAGGAGATAATATTTGATACACCACACGTAGTCTAAGAGCTAGCAACGTTTTCGAGAAACTATTTTAAGACGTCTGGCTCTTTGATATATCTTTTACTATGCTCTCTGGAACAGCATGCGGCCCGTCTGGCTGCTGATACCCGTTGCGTTCATTACTGCGCATCGGATGAAGATCCTGTATTTTTTATTAATTTAGTCCTATAAATTCTAGTATTGAATATAAATCGAACATGTCTCCATAGCGCAGTGCGTAGAGTTTCCGACCACGAACCGATGATTCAGAGTTCGATTTATTTTATTTTCGTCTATATTCTAATAGTAAAGTACCTATTAATTTTTTTTTGAATCACCAGAATTATTTAATACTTTACTGAGAATATAAACGAAAATAAAATAAAAAAGTCTTTGCTCGGACCTGGATTCGAACTCTGAATCATCGGTTCGTGGTCGAAAACTCTACGCACTGCGCTATGGAGACATGTTCGATTTATATTCAATACTAGAATTTATGCAAAACTAGGACTAATAAAAATATAGGATCTTCTTTCAATGCGCAGTAGGGAACGCAACGTTTACCGGCAGCCAAACGGGCCGCATGCTGTTCCAGAGAGCATAGTAAAAGATATATCAAAGAGCCAGACGTCTTAAAATACTTGTTTTTCCGACGTTGCTAGCTCTCGTACTAACGGTATGTCATATTAAAATAAAAGCACAAATACTTCCTGTGATGTAGTATTTCATAATTTATTTCACACAACACACAATTAACAATTTTAAAACATTAGTATCTCCCCACACAAAACTAACAATGAAACAAAATATCCAACAAACAAGATGTATATCGATATTTGAATATCAGAAATATTCAAGGCTTTCAAATGATTCTCTTTAGTACTAACGTTAATTAATTTCTCATAAACCAGGGCATCTGCAAAATCGTTGTACCACTTTATATTAAAACCACCTTCTCTCAATCTAGTTATCACCAAATTAATTTCTGCCAAAAATGGAGAACTTTTCGGCACTATCAAAGAAAGATAATAATAAACTGGACATTCTGGAATGAGATGAAGCATAGGAGTACCATCCTTGTTAACGTACTTCGATCTTAACAGAATATTAGCGTCATGGTACCTTTCGAAAGCTGCAAAACGTTTTCCAGAACGTACCACTGAATCTAAAGCCGAGCCACGATAATTCGAAGATGTTTTCCTATCCAGGCTCTGGTATATTTCGTAAAAACTATTGGCAAAAGGTTTCAAAGACCCTTTGATCTCCAGATTGCTTCGATCCAGCTCTTCCAGAGTTTTTATATCTGGATAGTATGATTCTATCGTGTAAGCTTTATACATCGTTGCGTTAAATAAGCTTGAAATGTTGATACTACCAAACAAAACAATTATTGAGAAAATTCTGGTTTTCTTAGTGAATCTTGGTAAACATTGTGATATAGAAACTCCAAATACTTCTATCCAACTGTTCATAAGCTTTCTTTGTGATGGGGGTGTTAAAATATGATTAAACAAAGTTGAAACGATCAGAATCATTAAAAGTCCGATCCAGACTGAAGATTTTATATTAATAAAAGGCCCTATCCATTTAGGAATGGATACTGACTTGGATACGACAACACAGAGTTGGTCATAAGCAAAATATTCGGTATACTCAACGAAATTCAGTAAGGAACTCCAAGTAACAAACCGGGGGTTCCCCTGAAGGTCAGCTTCGTTTCTTAGTATTTGACCAGCTGTTCCTGTGGCACTTGATTTATTATAGACAACACCAAATTCGTTAAAGCCCTCAATTTTTGATACTGTAAAATTCAAAGCTAGAGATATCTCAGATGTTAGGACTCCATCAAATCCGTACATTCCACTGGTGTAAGGAATTTTATCGTAAATTCTGTAATTTTTTAAACATTTTGGTGTTTCGAGTAAAGCAGTTATTCCCCTTGAAAATATAGAGACTTTTAGAGGAAATCCATTTAAATTCTTTACATTATTTAGTACTAAAAGTGGACTTTTTCTTACTCCAACACAATCGCTTTTTTCAATAACACCATATTGATTATTTCTTACTTCAAAAGGTCTGTAAATATACATAAAGTTTTTTTCGCAAGGAATGTACAGTATGGCGTTTAATATTCTTTTTTCTACCCATAATTTTCTTAAAAGTGAACTTACAAAGCGTTCTTGTTTATATGACAGTAAAATCAAAATATACAAACACCGACGGTGCTGTAATATTTCACCTTCATGATTTTCGAAGTATTGTTCCAATATTTCAAGTGTATTTCCCACAATAATATTGGTTTTAGCTGCCTGATGAGGAGATCGAAAAATTACGTTTGGTGGCAGATTTTCTTGAGACTTCTTTGTGTTAAAAATGATAGATGTTGTCCTGACAAAACTGGTTTTTATAAAATAATCTAAAAACTCACTAGCTTCTTCCTGGTTTAAAATATTCAATTCTAAATATTTCGAATTCTGAAAATATTTGTTAAGAATGGTTAAATTTTCTTCCACAATACTAGAAAATCTGTCATTTACCATGGTTTCAATCTTATTCGTAAAAACAATTTTTAACAAACAACAAAAAAATATCAATTTTGTAAATTTGGCCATCATTTTAACAAAGCCTCTTTAAGTAAAAGTATTCTATAGTGTTAAAATGATTTTGTAGTCAAAACAAGACATGAATATAAACGTATATATGTGCATTCTTATGTTTATTTTATCAAATATGCAAAACCTTTAAGTGATACAGAGGTAAATAATGTAAAATTATTTTATTTGACTTTTTAAAATATGGTTCACAAAGTAAATGGAGTATATATGAATAAATTATAAGTTGGTTAAGTTATTTTCTACCCAAAAAAATCAGTGTAAGAAAAATACCACTCTCCATGTATTCATACATTAAGGTACGACCATAGTGCACCGGCTTATCATGAGGCAGGTCCCATCGCTTTGTGAATCTGGGCAATTGAAGCAATTCGTGGCCATTCACAACCGCTTGCGGGAAGCGGGAATGTCTCATTTCACACCACAGAGCTATTTCTTGAGGGTATATTATGTCTTTTATTAGCTAGTGATCATATTTATATTAAACTGAAATAAGAAACAAATACTCGCGTTCATGAAATTAATCGGTCTCATTTTGAATTTGCTAAATACTTTAATACGTTATATCCAGAACTCACAGCTCACCCTCAAAAAAATTACGAATTTTTCCGGATAGGGAAAGAAACGTTCAAGTACATTTAAAACTTTTTGTGAAAAGTATATTTTCACGAGAATGTTCATTTTTTAATTCTCCGTCTAATAAAAAAAAGGAATATACAGGGTGTTTCATTAAAAAAAACGAAGGAAAATTATTTTATATTTTAGAAAGTTAGGCTTAGAATTTTGAACATCCTGTATGATTTAAGATTGCGATATTTATACCAAAGTATGTACATGGTATGTACAGGGTGGACCATTTTGGTTGTTTCTATAGGGTATCTAGGAAACCGTGAGAAATATTCAAATTTTGATACTGCAGTCTCAGGTTCTTTTTTTGAAAAAATTACAATGGCGCAAACGGATCGTGGCTATCTTGGTCGGTGTCGAAGCTACAGGGGATTCTCAAATTTTGTACTTTTTGAAGATGTTCAACAGTGGCGTAGTCAGACTTTTTTCGAAAAAAATATTTTTTGAGATATTAAATATACTTACGTTTTTTTTAATAGAACGCCCTGTATATTTCTAAATTTTCTTATTCAGCTTGGCATGAGATTCTCGAAAATATATAACACTCTATATTTATTTTCACTATTAACCTCAACATTTCAAATTTTTCTTAAAATATCCACTTAGTAGATAGTAGGCCACGCCGAGTAACAAAGTAAACGGTTGTCATGGTGATCGGGACATACTTTGATGGATACGTGACATTTCATTTCAACAGATTGAAGTGTGTGTATTTTAAATAATAAAAAAAACAAGTAAATTTGAAAATTTTGAGAAATATAATATGTTAGAATGTTATATTGAGTCTAACAAACATAAGCAAATGGCAGCTGATTTATATTTTGGGCGGTAACGAGAGCGCGAGCAACCAAACCCAGCCATTTTTAAAAGGTTAGAAGATAGTTTAATCAATTTTAGATCTTTTCAAAAACCGCGTCCGAAAAATTATCAGAAAGAAGATGAAGAAAATCAATATGTTAATATCCTCGGAGCCGAATACATGAATTAGCAATTAAATAAAATCGAACAATAAGAAGCAAATAAAAAATAAGTGAGACAGAAACAAAAGAACATATTTTAATATAAACTCAAGAGGTTACTTCAACCGGGCTTTTCAGTTAATATAAAAAAATAAAAACACAAAGACTACATTAAATGTTCAGACTTCTGCCATTATTATCTAGACAGAGTTGATACCGTCTCCGCATGCCGTCGCTAACAGCATTTCAATACCTCTACTTGATGTTGGATCTATTGTTACGGCTCCAAGGACATTAATAAACATTAATATTTGATTTTATTCATCTTCTTTCTGATAATTTTTCAGACGCGGTTTTTGAAAAGATCCAAAATTGATTAAACTATCTTCTAACCTTTTAAAAATGGCTGGGTTTGGTTGCTCGCGCTCTGGATACCGCTCAAAATATAAATCAGCTGCCATTTGCTTATGTTTGTTAGACTCAATATAACATTCTAACATATTATATTTCTCAAAATTTTCAAATTTACTCATTTTTTATTATTTAAAATACACACACTTCAATCTGTTGAAATGAAATGTCACGCATCCATCAAAGGTATGTCCCGATCACCATGACAACCGTTTACTTTGTTACTCGGCGCGGCCTACTATCTACTAAGTGGATATTTTAAGAAAAATTTGAAATGTTGAGGTTAATACTGAAAATAAATATAGAGTGTTATATATTTTCGAGAAGTCCATGCCAAGCTGAATAAGAAAATTTAAAAATATACAGGGGGTTCTATTTAAAAAAAACATAAGTATAGTTAATATCTCAAAATATTTTTTTCGAAAAAAGTCTGACTACGCCGCTGCATTCTACACAGAAAAGTGCCTTTAGAATGTATAATCCATTTTTCCGTGGTTGCTGAAATAAACAAACTATCGAACGAATCTTCAAAAAGTACAAAATTTAAGAATCCCCCTGTAGCTTCGAAACCGATCAAGATAGCCAAGATCCGTTTGCGCCATTGTAATTTTTTCAAAAAAAGAACCCGAGACTGCAGTATCAAAATTTGAATATTTCTCACGGTTTCCTAGATACCCTATAGAAACAACCAAAATGGTCCACCCTGTACATTACGCTGTACTGTTCGGGTCGCTCTCAGGAGTCGAGTAAGGCGGGTATGTGGCCAAACAAAATATATATTATATTTCAGAAATCTGCCGGCTTAGCCCGATCCTGTCGTGTTACGCCACATCCAAAATTCCAAACACACGTGTTTTGATTAAGGCTTGATTAAGGTTTGCAGAGCTTCAGCATTTACCATAAAATAGCGAGCAATTTGTTACAAAACCATATAAATTATATATCACTGTAATCACAAAACTTCGATCTATTTCCGTATTGTAACGGAATTTTAAATGATGTCTTTATTTTCGAGAAAATTTAATCCAAACATAAGGAATATTTTGTGGATGTTTGACCATCAAAATCCTAAAAATAAAGAAGCTGTCTAAAAATGTGCTACAATACGGATATAGTATAATCCTTTATCTTTAATTTCCTTCTTTATTTGTGTAAAAATACCTAGACAGTTTTACATAAAACGTTAAATGCCGAACGCTTATTTTGCTACTTTTTCGGTCTAGTAAAATGGATTCAGGAGAGTTCTTGTATTTATTAATAATAAAACTCCAAGCATTTACTTACGTATATTCACGTATATTTATTACTATCATTTGAAACCTTGCAAAAATAAAAACCATCAAAAATAAACCTGAAATACTCAGCAAAAACTTAAAACTATAACGTAGGCGTGCGCCTATACCAAAACCTAGCCCTAAAATCATCCGAACACGTCAGAAACGCCGCCTGCGTGGGCGAATGCGCAATCAACCTAACAGCCCCATTGTGTCCCAAGGACATCAGCTGTTTCCTGGAAGCGTTTCTGGAATTCCACGCGCACAACGACGTGGTGGCTTCGTCTGGAAATAGTACGTAGTCTTCTGTATGGTTAAAAACTGCCTGAGCTTCGTATTCCTGTTTTCCTGTGGTTCCTGCGCCTGTATAAGCTATTAAGCATCTGCTGGTTGTTAGTTCCCATAGTTTACAGATGGAGTTCTTGCCGGCCGAGAGTAAATATTTGCCGTTTCGTGTGAACTGGACTGAACATACTTCGAAACCGTCGTGGGCTTTTGGGAATGTATTAATACATCTAGAACACGTTAGAGAGACAAGGTTATGCAGGGTCCAGACCAAGGCGACAAAAAGTAAACACAATTTTGAGACAAAAACAAGACAAACTTGCGACAAAAAATGTGGAATTCTGACAAGACAAACTTGAGACAAATTGTCCATACCGCAAGGACAAAAGTACAATAAAGTCAAAAGTTTAGTTGTTGCGAATGAGTTTTATTAACCATGTGTGATTTCACTGGTCTCCTACTGTTGGCAGCACACGCCATCCACACTGCGCCGACAACTTATCGTAAAATATACGAACAAAACCTAGACACTTTGATCTTTACCGACTCGAGACGGGACATTGAAAAGTTTCCGAATTTTAAAATAAAATATAAATGAGACAAAAATGTCGCAGAAATGGATTTGTCGCAATTTTGTCATAAAAAATGGGTGTTTCTGTCTTGTCGTTGTTTTGTCTGATTGGTCTGGACCCTATTTTTAGATCCTATAAACTTCTTGGATTAGATCCTATAAACTTCTTGGATAAAGCTTAAAGACAAAAACATCTCAATAAAAAGGAGACAAACACTCCATTCCCAAAAAAATATTAACTAAAAAACTCTGTTTACAATCATACAAAATTTAATACTTTAATGTTGTTAAAGAGTTAAAATGAGACGAGTACCGGGTGTCCCACTAAGAATAGCTCTCGGCTGTATCTCGGAAAGTATTAGCCGTAGGGCTTACGCAAAAAAATATTTATAACTAAAGAGGCTATGATAAATTGCTGGAAATTATTTTCAAGTTTGTAAAACGGCCATAGGTGGCGCAACTGCTATGGAAAATAAGAAAATAGATTTTTTACAGAATTTTGCCTAGATAATGGGTACTATAAATAACAGCTTCATAATCTTCATAAATTTTGGATTTTTTTTGTTAGAACCATTTTTCCATATCTGCTAAAATAAAGTGGTGGGGGAAGGTTAGATCTATCTTTATTTAAATGTTAATAACTCCGCACTGGATGCTCAGAATCCAACAAACGAGGACTCGTTTAAAAGAGCGTTTCTTACTCTATATTATACCATAAAAATAATAATAAGGTCTTGAACGTAGGCGCTAGGGGTCGCTTTGTTACAATTTAACAAACATAGCGCGTTTTTTCAAAATAATTAAATACGATAGTATGTGCTATTTTAGCTGGTAGTCAAGAGTAGTAAAAACTTAAAAAGTCAGCGAAAACCGCATCTTGATATCTTCTTTCAAGCCGAAGATATTAGCAAAATTATAATAAATGCCAAAAAATAAATCCTTAATTACCCTATTTTTATAATACAGTATCAGTAGCCCTCTTGATTAGGCCCATTCTAACAAAAAAATAAGATAGAAACAGTTAGTTTATTTTAAAATCGACGAAATACCAGAATACCTTAATACCAGATGTATTAATATCTAATAATTAAGATATTAATAATAGTGAACAAGAAACGATGATTTAGTGAAGTCATAGTAGGCTTTGTAAAAAAGTTGCTTTTCGTGTAATAGTATAAACGTCAAATTGTAATTAGATCAACATTTTGATAGTCTTAGCAGCGTTTTTAATCTTTTAAATGCTTTTTCAAAATGCCTTTATTATTTGAAGTAGTTGAAGTTGTTGGCATTTTTAAAAAGCAATCAAAAGATAAAAAACGCTGCTAAGACTATCAAAATGTTGATCTAATAACAATTTTACGTTTATACTATTACGTCAAAAGCAACTTTTTTCCAAAGCCTGCCATGACTTCACTAAATCATCGTTTCTTGTTCATTATTATTAATATCTTAATTATTAGATATTAATACATCTGAAATTATGATATTCTGGTATATCGTCGCTTTTAAAATAAACTAACTGTTTCTATCTTATTTTTAGGTTAGAATGGGCATAATCAAGAGGGCTACTGATACCGTGTTGTAAAAGTAAGGTAATTAAGGGCTTATTTTTTGGTATTTATTATAATTTTGCTAATATCTTCGGTTTGAAAGAAGATATCAAGATGCGGTTTTCGCTGCCTTTTTAAGCTTTTACTACTCTTTACTATCAGCTAAAATTACATATACTATTGCATTTAATTTTTTTGAAAAAACGCGCAATGTTTGTTAAATTGTAAGACAACGCCCCCTAGCGTCTACGTTCAAAAGCTTATTATTATTGTTTATATAGTACAATATAGAGTAAGAAACGCTCTTTTAAACGAGCCATCGCTTGTTGGATTCCGATCATCCAGTCCAGAGTTATTAATATTCAAATAAAAACAGATCTAACCTTCTCCCACCACTTTATTTTGGTAGATAGGGGAAAATGGCTCTAACAAAAAATATTCAGAATTTACTGAAGATTATAAAGCTGTTACTTATAGTACACCTTATCTAGGCAAAATTGTGTAAAAACTCCATTATCTTATTTTTTGTTGCAGTTGCGCCCCTAGCGGTTGTTCTACAAACTTGAAAATAATTTCCAGCAATTTCCCATAGCCTCTTTAGTTATAAATATTTTTTTCCGCAGCCGCTACGGCTAATACCTTCCGAGATACAGCCGAGAGCTATTCTTAGTGGGACACCCTGTACATAAATATGACAACGCGTACATAAATATGACAACGTTTTTTTTATCAACAATCTTAAGAATTTATTTTAATTTAAATTTTAACTTATAATATACCGGGTGCGTCTCAAAACTGGCTCACCCCTTTAATTTTTTTTATTTTATCGGATAAAAAAACGAGATTTGGTGTGTTAGTATATGACATAAAATTAGGATTGATTGAATTTTTCACTTGCTTTCAGTCATTTCCTGTTTCACCGGAAATAACTACAACTTTTTATTTTTAAACGGCACCCTCCGTATTTTTTACTTTATTCAATAGAAAATGACACTCTAAAAAGAATGACAATATCATATGTCAACTTCTGAAATCTTCTCATATGGTTTATTTGAATTTGTAACATGCGGTTCATAACGACAATTTGAATCGAAATACCTACCAAATGTATAGTACCAAATTATTTGTAAAAAATGCTTTTTCCAAAAAATATGCTAATGAAAAAAATTGAGATATGATTAAAAATACGATTTGGGCATCTTTTAACACTCCAGGATAAGACACGAAAAATATTAGACGATCAAATCTATTTTTCCAAGGCTCCCTTATTTCCTCTATATTCCTCTATATTGAAATATTCCTCTATATTATTTCCTCCAAATTCCTCTATATTGAAATGTAAAATACATTTTTTTTAAGTGAAAATGTCAAAAATTGACATATGATAAATCATTCTATTCAGGGTGTCATTTTCTATCAAATAAAGTAGAAAAATACCGAGGGTGCTATTTAAAAATCAAAAGTCGTAGTCGTTTCCGGTGAAAAAGGAAGTGATCAAAAACAATTGAATACGTCAATCAATCCTAATTTATGCCATATACTAACATACTAAATGTCGTTTTTTTATCTGAAAAAATAAAAAAGTTCTAAGGGTTTGCCACTTTGAGACCCACCCGGTATATATAGATAGAGAGAAGAAAAAAATAGTAATTACCTGTTAGATACACTATCCCATAATTTGATAGCTCCATCTTTACTGCAACTGGCGAAAAATTTCGCGTCCATAGACCATTTTAGACAAGTGACAGTTTGTGTGTGCTGTTGGTTCGGGAAAGGACAAACGTAACATTGAAGTGTATTGACGTCATACATGCGAATTACTGGATGGCTGGTAGCAACAATAAGATGATCGCCAGTCGGGTGAAATGTAAAGTATCTTACAGGTTCTGCTTCCTATAAAATAACAATAAAAAATAAGATATACAAAGGGTAAATGAATCAGCAGAAAAAAAAGCAAACTGCAGTAATCCCATAATACTAATTATTAAATTTTACTTTCTTCTTGTTAACTGCTTTATATAATATATATTTTTTTATTTCAAATTGTTAGTGTATCAAAAATAGAGTAAAATATTTGCAAGTTATGTAACTATTTCCGTACCCCTATATATGACACCAAGTAAGCATTCTATCATCTACGCAATTTGATTACTAACGTCATTTTTTTTACATATGTACCCAAAAGTTTTGGAGGTACCGTATAATCCTTGATATGAAAAGTGTAAAAATCTTTATATACACATAAAATTCACCTTCACCATTTTGTCATTAAAAAGAAACTATAGTATTAAGCCCATAATGATATTTAGGTATATTTTGGGTGGTATATCTTAATAAATAAGTCTCAAAGACACACGTTATTCTAATTTATATATATTATTTACTAATTTTGGGATAATCTTCTTCAAAATAATGAATTTATATCACTCTCTTGCTCAAACAGGCTCAAATTAACTTTTTTGTCAACAAAATTCAATGGAAGCCACAGAATACAAAGAGTACATAATATGTTTTCACAAATATATCTTAATAAATAAAAAAAAGAAGTCTGACTTCTTTATCAATATTTAGTAACTTCCTCTTGCTCAAATCAGTATTTTAGTCATCAAAAGGTAATAGAAGCCACAGAATACAGAGGGTATATATGTTTCTCTAAAGTATATATCTTAATAAATAAATAAATAAGTCTCACAGACTTTGTACTAATTTATATATAATCTTTATTAATTTGGGTAAACTACTAATCTACTTCTTCAAAATAATGTTTTATATCACTTTTTCTTGCTCAAATCAGCTTTTTTGTCATCAAAATGCAATGTAAGACACATACATACATACTATAGATATATTTTCTCAAATACATCTTAATAAATAAAAAAGAAGCCTCACAGACACTTTATAGTACTTTATATATAATCTTTACCAATTTTAAGATAAGACTCTTCAAAATAATATATTTATATCAGTATCCTTTGGTCAAATTAGTCTTAAACCAATTTTTAACTATATGTATACCAAAAACATGATTAAATATTAAAAAAACTAACTCTTTTATAATTCTACAGGTATGTATAACAAATAATATTTATAAAATTATATTTACTCACTGATATTGTCTTAAAGGCTTTCTTCACACTGGCTTTAGATATATCAAACAATTTAATATTATGATCTTTAGACCCAGAACACAAAATCGGTTCTTTCGGATGGAATTCCAAACATGTAACTTCCTCCATATGATCATACAATGTCCTTAAAAGAATACATAAAATTAAAACAAAAATAAAAAGCAAATAAATAAAAATCTTACCGAATAACAGGATGACCTTGCTGTTCACCCCTAGAAGGATCCATTTCATCAGGAGCAGATTTGGCCAACATCCTATCCACATCCAGAATTTTAATACTGGCATCTACACTTCCCGTAGCTATTAACTGACCGTCAGCCGAGAAACAGCCAGCCCTACAGTTACCCTTATGCGAAGTAACATAAGCAGTCTCGTAAAGTGCTGGTTCGGGGGCTATCATACTCGAATCAGTCTCAAATTCCAAATCTAACAAGTAATTCCTGGTATAATTACACAATCTACAGTTTATATAAGGTTAAAACCAAGTTAAAACATACCTAGACCAGGGCCAATTTGATTATTTCCAATCCCAAAATTATGGGGCCTTTCTTTTCTCTCAGGTTCATGTTCTAGGCCTGCTAAAGTTATTCTCAGTAGTCTGTCGCTGGGAGAACAAGCAGGTTCTGCTTGGACAGCTTGAGCCAAGCTTTGGCCGATAGATTGATGTCCATCGTAAAATAGTTGGCTAAAATTAAGGCAAAGTCTTAAAAACTCTAAATAAACGAGGATTATAATATATGGATTATATGGTTACCTGATTATAAGCCGGTACATAAACTCTCTGCTCTTGATTACGTTATTTGTATCAGGATCGTCTTCTTTAGGGGGTACGGAATTATTGGAATTTGTTGTATTTGTCATATTTATTTAGTTTAGTTTTAATATAAAACAGTACACTTCAGAGAGTACACTAATATAAATAAAAAAACGATACCAAAACAATTCTAACCTCTCAGAATTTATGATTTGATAACAAAACAATGGAGCCTATCACAGACATACTCCATATTTTAAACTTAACATTACTTCTGTGGTCAACACAACAATGATGTGTCTAGTGGTCCGCTAAACGGATAAATGAAATATACTAATCCCATTATCTGATTAATAAAATTTTCTTTCATGTTTATAATTTATTTATTGAATAAGTGGATTAAAAATTTTAGTTGTTTTGGTTAAATTTCAAGATTTATTTCTTATTACCGCAAATACATACGTCAAAATATTTCAAATTGATTTAAAAAGAAGTGACAAAAAATAGCTTTCAAATAATTTGTTTAATATTATTTACCCTGAGATTGTCTATATTTAGATGGTATTGAGTGTCGCTTTATTCAGTATAGGTGTCCAATGTCCAATTATTAATTATAATATTCTTTTTGCTTCTTGAATAAATAAACTAGAAGGCCAAATAAAAATTTGTTTCTATCATGATAGCTGTTATAACTTAATAAATTAATCATAAAACAGTAAACTGCCTAAATTTTAAAAAATCTATTGATGTAACCACTTATTCTATGTAGATATAAACATTATTAAATATTTATAAATCTCAAAATATTTATTTTATTTATCCGTTTAACGAACACCTAGACACTGCCATAATAAAAAAAAAGACAGACGTAAATTTATCTGACCCAAATCTGACCTAAGATCTGACCACTTTGACACATCTTTGACATTGACGTTTCAAAACCTAACCAATTTTTACGACGTCAACAGGATTTTGCTCGATTTTTATTTAAATTTCATTTAAAAACAATGTTAATATTCGATATTAACAAAACAAATTAACCAATCAGCTACATATTAGTGTAATTTAGAACTTCGAAGCCTGAAACTGTACTATGGGTTTATTTACAGAGGTGAGTAATTTTGTTGTAAAAAGTTCATCTCATCTAAACATTGATTCTTTATTTCATATTATTTAAACCTTTGTGATTCTATTACAGATTTCGAAATTGTGTATATTCTTAATATTAATATGGGTGCCAACAAGTTATTCCTTCTATGTTCCTGGAATGGCACCAGCAGATTTCCATAAAGGAGACCTCATAGAAGTCAAAGCTGTGAAAATGACCAGCATACACACGCAACTACCCTACGAATACTACTCGCTACCTTTTTGCTTGCCAAAAGGTGGTGCTAGCGCTATTCATTACAAATCAGAGAACTTAGGAGAAGTTCTTAGGGGAGATCGAATAGTTAACACTCCATATATAGTTAGAATGGCTGAATCAACTCCCTGTACGTTGTTATGTCATACGCCTGGAAAGCCAATGCATTGGACTGCGGCAGAATCACAAATGGTAGTGGATAGGATCCAGCATGAATACTTTGTTCATTTGTATGGTTTTAAGATATATTTTTTTTCTTTTTCTATAATATTTTTTGTAGACTTGTAGATAATCTTCCAGCTGCAACACCTCGGCGTAGCTCAGATTCATATACGGTAGAATATGAGCATGGTTACAGACTAGGTAACACAGTTGGATCGAAAACTATAATAAATAACCACTTGAAATTCAAATTGTTCTATCATCAACCTCAACCGTAAGTTTCCAGAAATATATTTAAGCAAAATTTATTCATACTGTAAGAAAATCAATAAAAGTTGGCATGCACATCATTTATTTCATTGATTTCTCTACATTTTATTTTTTTATAGTGATGTATATAGGGTGGTTGGGTTTAGTTTGAATGCAAAATCGGTGTCATTGGAGAAAACCAAGTTTGATGCAAACACCAATCAGTGTAGTTTTTCTGATGATGCTACTCCACAAACTGTCGATCCAAATACAGGGACAATGTTGTTTTTTACTTACGAAATTGAATGGGAGGAGTCCAAAGTGAGTTGGGCATCCAGATGGGACACATATTTAGCTATGACAGATGCCCAAATTCATTGGTTTTCCATTGTTAATTCTATAGTAGTGATATTTTTCCTAACAGGTAATTTTTGGGTTATTTTTAATAAGACAAGTTGCTATTTTTTACACATTTTTTTTTCACTAACAGGAATGTTAACTATGATAATGGTGAGGACGCTGAGAAAAGACATAGCAAAGTATAATGCCGATGAATTTTTTGATGATACTGTTGAAGAGACCGGTTGGAAGTTAGTGCATGGGGATGTTTTTAGGCCGCCTAAGTATTCTAGGTTTTTTGCTGCTCTGGTTGGGTCTGGTATACAGATATTTCTGATGGCACTACCTACATTATGTGAGTATTTTTTAATGAAATTAAACATTCTACATAATATAGCTGAGTTTTCTAGAATACCTTCCTAATATATATATTTTTTTTATATTTCTTTCCTTTCTTTTTTTCCTTATAGGTATTTGTTTCTTTATTTTTTTTTTCCTAATATTTTTTTCCTTTCTTGTTTTTCTATATTTTTTTCTTCCATTTTTTCGATTCTCTTTTCTCTTTTTTATGATTTATTTTCTATTATATATTTTTTGATTTATTTTCTATTATTTATTATTTATTTCTATGATGGTTTTACCTTCCTAGTTTTTCTTTATTTTTTTGACATGTTTTTTTCTGATTTTTTCCGATATTTTCCCTTTTTTTCGTATATTTTATTTTTTTTGCTGTTTTTTTTATCATATGGTGCCAAGAAAAAAGGAAGGAAAAAATTCTTCCTCTTTTTCCTAATGTTTTTTTTTCTATTATATTTTTTCTATCTTTTTTTTATATATTTTTTTCTATATTGTTTCCCTATATTTTTTATCTTTTACCCCCTTTTACTTAATTTTTGTTCATAGTTTTTTCCTGTGATATTTTTTCATCCCTTTTCCTATGATTTTTTTTTCTGTAATGTTTTTTACTTTTTATCCTATATTTTTCCTTAAGTACTTTTTCTTTCTTCTTAAAGGCAATATATATTTTTTTAGTTTTCGCCATGTTGGGTATACTGTCGCCAGCATCCAGAGGCGCACTAACAAACGCAGCTATTATTTTTTATCTATTCAACGGTGCAGTGGCGGGGTATTTCTCAGCAAGACTTTATAAAACAATTAAAGGTAGAGAATGGAAAAAAGCAGCTTTTCTTACAGCTGTTCTATACCCGGCAATCATTGCATTCTCCTTCTTCATTCTGAACTTCTTTATATGGGGTAAGTTTATTTTTAACCCTGTATATTAAATTTAATTCTTTGTTCAACGTTGAGACACGAATGGGTGTAAAAAATAATTCTTTTTTTGAATAGGTAAAGCTAGTAGTGGAGCTGTACCGTTTGCCACAATGATATCTCTACTTCTCATGTGGGTATTCATATCGCTCCCACTGGTTTATGTGGGATATTATTTTGGGTACAGGAAACAACCCTATCAACACCCTGTAAGAACCAATCAGATACCGAGACAGGTACCGGAACAACACTGGTACATGAATCCAATTTTATGGTAAGTAGTATTTTTCATTTATAAGGATTAATCTCTATATATTTTGTTTTCTTTTTTTCTATGATTTATTTTGTTATTTCTTTCTTTCTTTTTTTTCCGATGCTTTTTTTGTTTTTTTTTCCTATGGTTATTCTTCCTTTATTCCTTTATTCTTCCTTTTTCTAAGATATTTTTATATTTTTTATTCTTTCCTTTTATTTGATATATTTTTATCTTTTTTCCTATGTTTTTATTTTTCCCTTTTCTGTGATATTTTTTTCCTTTTTTAACTATATTTTTTCCTTTTTATTTGCGTGCTATTTTTTTGTATGATATTTTTTCTTCCTTTTTTTAAAGATATTTTTTTCCTTTTTTGCCTGTTATTTTTTGTATGATATTTTTTATTTCCTTTTTTATCTTATTTTTTTCTTTTTTTTTACTATGTTCGTTCTTCCTGTTTTCTATTATATTTTTTTCCTCTATCTTAACTTATTTCTTTGGTGTTTTAATTTTGATTATTGATAAAACTAATATTTTTTGGTACACTGTTTGTGGGAATTCTGCATTTTTCTTTATTTTTTAGTCCTTTTTTCCATTCATATTCTGTTCCTTTTTTCCTGTGATACTTTTTTTGTTCCTTTTATTCTAGAACAATTTTTTCTTTCCTTTTTTTCTGATTTTTCTTACTTTTTTTCTAGGATGTATACTTTTCGTCTTTTTTTTTCATGAGAGAAAAAGAAAAATTTTGTTAAATATTTGGTTTCTTCCTTTGTTTCTATGATATATTTTTTCTGTTTTTCCATATTTTTTGTCTTCCTGTTTTTTTTTCTATTGTGTTCTTTTTTGTCCTTTTTTCCATTATTTTTTTTTCTCCTCTGTGTATCTTTATTTCTCCTCTGTGTATCCTTATTCTTTCTAGTGTTTGAATTTTGATTATTGATAAACATAATATTTTTTGGTACACTGTTTGGCAGAATTTTGCATTTTTCGTTATTTTTTTTTAATTCTTTTCCTGTGATATTTTTTTCCTTTTTTTCAATGTTATTTTTTCTTCCTTTTTTTTCCGTTTTATTTTTTTTTTCTATTTTATTTTTTTTCTTCGATTTTTTTTTAAATATATTTTTTCTCCTACGTTTTTCTTTAATTCTCTGGTATTTGAATTTTGCTTATTGATAAAATTAATATTTTTTCAGTACCCTGATTGCCGGAATTCTGCCTTTTGGAGCAGTTTTCATAGAACTGTTCTTCATATTCACCGCCATATGGCAGAACCAGTTCTATTACCTGTTTGGATTTTTGTTCTTGGTTTTTATTATTCTTATCATATCCTGTTCGCAGATCTCGATCGTGATGGTTTATTTTCAACTTTGCGGAGAGGTAAGTTTCTTCCCAAAATCCACCCAGATATAATTCAAATATCCTCAATCTTTTTCTATTTTTATTAGGACTATCACTGGTGGTGGAGGAGTTTCATGGTCTCAGGAGGCTCGGCATTCTATATCTTAGGTTATTCCTTCTATTATTTCATGACGAAACTGGAAATAACAGAATTCATACCGACGTTGCTCTACATCAGTTACACGGGACTTATGGTGTTTACTTTTTGGTTATTGACTGGTACAATAGGATTTTTCGCGGCGTACTCGTTTGTTAAGAAAATTTACTCTGCCGTTAAGATTGACTAAAAGTTTCGACTCATTTGACATGCCTTTTCATTGTTTTTTTGTATAGTGTTTTCAAGATAAAGACTGTTCACCCATTGTTTGCCGTTACGTCATTATTATTTGTCAAATATGAGTTTTAGGGTGTGTCTGAGATCAGTTCATACCAATCGATTAGTCTCACTCATTTGCTGTCCTCCATATTTGCGAATTTCAAGTTCCAGGGCTTTACGCCCTGGGCTGCTCAGAACGGTTCTGAAAGGAGCTGTGCGCGATAGCCTGGTGCCTCCATATGGCGCGGAACAGTTCTGAACTTTCTGACTCAATTGAATGGAGCGAGAGTATCGCGTTCTTGAACAGTTCAGACCTGCCCAACTGCGTGAAAGGAGGACAGCAATTTCAGATCGTTTGATGAAGATTGGCAAAAAACTCTTACTTCACTTCACCACAGATTACTTCACTGTGAACTGTGAGGCGGTACCTTTCGAAGTTAGCCGAGTCAGTTAGTACTGGATAAATGTCTCTGCATATTGTCAAACTTCAAAAATATCCTGGTCAGTATTAAAGTATTTCATTTCGTACACAGTCACAGTGCAGCTTCAAAAATTTAAAATTTTCTCAAAAATAAAGTATTCTAATTTTTCAAATTACGTAAAAATAAAAAAGTTACTTAAAATTTTAATGGTATCACATAGGATGATTAAAATTTTAAATTTCGACGGGTTGTATCTACCAAAAATAATTTCCTTATTTCATAAAAAAGAACAAAATATACATGAAAACATTGAAATAGGCATGTTAATTGATTAAAAAATCAAATCGAAAATGCAAACGAAATAATTTATTTTTTTCTATAGAATTGGATGAGAAAATTTCATTTTTTGACTATATAGACGCCATGCGATAAAAAGATTGCTGTCACGGTAGACTTAGAAATTACATTTTAACGTGAGATTTACTATGACTACAATAATTGGATTTATTGATAGACAAGTATTTTATAATTTATTTATACTCAGTGTTTATTTTGTAGTTTTTCAAGAAAATTCAAATAAGACACTAGCAATGTGTGCATACTAAAGTTCATACTGAAATTACTCTTCTATGCCTACTATGACATTGTTTTCACTTGATGGTACATCATTAAAAATAGGCTGTACTTAAACTGCCGTTAAACGGTAGCTTACTAAAATGCCGTTAATAGGTATGACGTCGTTGATGTGACGCACTTGACGGCTTTATAAAATATAGGAATTTTATAAGGACTAACCAACGCTATCCACCACACCAAATAACCAACGCAACTAACCTCGACACTGATAAAAAAATTTAAAAAACAAATATAAATTAGTAAAAACCAACCAACCCCACCAAATAACCAACTAACCAATGAATTAACACCCTCTAAATAACCACGCTAACCAACCCGCCAAATAACTAAACCAATCCAACCAAAAAAAGGGAAACCAATGCAATAAGATCACGCTATAAGCAAAAAAAAATATAAAAAAGTCTTGGTCAGCGTGAGATTTGAACCCCGGACCATTCGCTCACGAACCGATAGCCTCAGCCACGGAGCCACAAGTGCTCTTGCAATATGCTTATGGCTAGGCATTACTTTCCGCCGACATGAACGACGTCACAATATCTATTAACGGCATTTTAGTAGGCTACCGTTTAACGGCTGTTTAAGTACATCGTTAAAAATAATGCAAGTTACATTTTATAGAATTAATATTACCCTTTTCACGTGGTTTAAATTATCACATATTTTTTATAATACAATACAAATTTTACTAGCTTTTGCACATAACACTGTACAAGAGGAAACAATTTTATACATATTAAAATCACACTTTTTTCAGAAGTTTTCATAGTAATATAATAAATGATGCACAAAGTTCTTTTATATCTAAAAATTTAGTGTAAAATATTACCAACAACAACAACATTTTGCTATTTGAACAATCATTTTTTTACTTAAATTTTAAGGAATATATTTTCATTTACAAGAATTTGCACTATTTTTCCTTACTTCCTATATTATTCGCTGAATCAAGGCTTTCAGCTCAAAATAACAGGCTGTGAATTATTTTAGAATATACTATATGTATAAATGATCACGATTTACATAGTTCATCTCGCGTAACTTTACCTTGTTTTGACGTTTGGCATCACTATGGCTCTGCTACGCTCTCGCTAACATTATATAAAAACCACAGACGGAGTTTCTCGCCAACTTATTTTTATTTAAATCAAAACAAGAAAATGTTTAGCGGGAAGAACTATAGATCAGTTGATGAGACTTTGACAATATACACGTGGAATTGTCATTAATGTCTCACCAACTCTTATACCGGGTGCGTCTCAAAAGTGGCTCACCCCTATAACTTTTAATTTTTATGATAACAAAGCGAGATTTGGTGTGTTTCCTGTTTCACCGGAAATGACTACAACTTTTGATTTTTAAATGGCACTCTCTGTATATTTCTACTTTATTCGATAGAAAATGACACTCTGAATAGAATGACATATCATATGTCAACTTTTGACATTTTCGCATATGGTTTATTTCAGCATTGTAACATGCGGTTCATAGCGACAATTTGACTCGAAATACCAACTGTGTGGTACCAAATTATTCGTAAAAAATGCTTTTTCCAAATTATGCTAATATGTCACCCTCCTTCCATTTGAAAAAATTGAGATATAATTATAAATACGATTTGGGCAGCTTTTAACCCGCCAGGACAAGACACCAAGAACATTAAACAATCAAAACTATTTTTCCACTCTAACCTAAGCGAAAATGTCAAAAGTTGACATATGATATGTCATTCTATTGAAAGTGTCATTTTCTATCGAATAAAGTAGAAATATACCGAGGGTGACATTTGAAAATCAAAAGTTGTAGCCATTTCCCGTGAAACAGGAAGCGACCAAAAACAATTGAATGCGTCAATCAATACTAATTTATGTCGTATACTAACATACCAAATTTCGTTTATTTAATTTGAAAAAATAAAAAAGTTGTAGGGGTGAGCCACTTTTGAGACGCACCCGGTTACCCATTACTAGTTTTCTAGGTATTTAGTTAACTAATCAGTTAAACCTATTGTGAATAACATTTTAAATGAATAGTAACACACTCGCATATACAGGGTGTACCTAAAGAGATCTGTACATTATTTTACCTGTTGAAATATGCAGTAGTAGAATGCTGAAATATGCAGTAAAAATTGACTTTCCCATCCAATACTATGTATAGTTTTCTCTGTACATACCATTATTTATAATAATATAACGATTTAGTCTAAAATACTTACAAAAAACAATTATTTTCTGTGTATTTAGAATAATATGTGATACGTAGAGGTATAAGGTAAATACCTAAATGACTTAAATATAACAAAATTTTTGAAAAAAAAGTATTCACAAAATCTAGGAGCAACAAATAAAGAAGACTTCTTCATAAGGTTAAAAAAAATCACATCTTTTCGATTTTTAATTTTTTTAATAACTATCGACCATACTTATGTATAAATGTTTCAAAATGCAAGTGTAAAAATTTGAAAAATAAAATTTGTTTTTTTTATATTTTCGTTTCATTTAAACATTTCACATTTTTTTTCCTAATGCTTAAATAAAACAACTCTTAATTTTAATGTTTTATTAATTTATTTTTGTTTAGATTTAAATAATTTGTTTTTTATTTGAGTCAGTGACATGACGACTGGAATCATCACAGGCAAAAACAACGGAATATATATGGCATATCTGTAAAAAAAACTCACTGTTAGTAAAATACTGTATGATCGGAAAAAAAACGGCGTCCAGGGAAATGACATTCCCTGTATAATTTTCTCAATACTATCTTCATTTCATAGCCATTGCTAACGCCGTTTTTTTTTCGATCGTATGGTACAAAGTTACAATGTGATGAAATAAAAAAGACGTCAGAGTAGGCGCAGAAATAACATTTAAATTCAAGCTTTACCACAAATAAATAGAATACCTTAGATTTACAAAAGCTACAGTAAGCGTCGCGTCGGCTCCTTTGATATAAATGTTCCAAAAAATATAAATATATGAAAAAATATGACATTGAAGCAGAAAAACGCGTTTTTGATTTTAGGACTTCAAAAGCTTCTGAAAAATTCAACCATATTTTATATGTTTTCTTTAATTCTCTCTAAAACGGTATGGAAATTTGTGAAAATATATACAGGATTAACCATTTTAGAACAAGCAAAAATTTTTACGAAGAATGCATTTTTCCCAAAATAAAAGATTTTTTGCTCTTGTAAAGACAATTCGGGGACCTACCTAATGTAGATTCAAACTATGTTATTTCCAAGCCTACTATAATTTTTTTTTAAATCATAGATATGATATATGATATAGTTGCCAGTTCTAAGGAATTTTTCCTAAATTTAGGGAAATTAAAGGTTGTGAAACTAAAAGGAAGACAAATGAACAAACAGGAAATTCTGAAGAGATAAATAAATTTTAGAAGACACATTTATAATTTTACCAAATATATCTTATATCCCCAGAAAAAATTGCTTTTAAAACAATAATTTTTAGTAATAATAATAATATTTTAAAAGGTTTCTTTTAATTATCTGACAAAAATTCTAACTAAATAATGTGCACTATTGTCCTAACTCCTAACTATTTGATATAAACAATCTTGAAGTTTGAAAATTCCAGGGAATTTGGAAACAAGATCTAGGAAACTTGACAACTCTGGATTATGATAGTAAGTATTTACTAGGATCTAAATCACTTACTTTTGATCATCTGGGAAGTACAAAAGAGCCAAAAGCGATGGATGCCCAAATGCCTCTTCTGAATTCTGAAAAGCTACCTTTGCTTTAACCAAAGCATCATCCAACTTTCCTTTTAATATCAGTTCCTCAGCTGCATTTATATTTTCCACCGCTACATTAACTTTATCAGCTATCTCATCGCTTATCACTATACTCTTTATCTCTGAGAGCAACTGTGCTAAAGATTTCAAAGTTTTCTTTGATGATTCTAACATTTCATATGTTTTTCTCTGTTTAAGCTCTGTAGCAGCATTAACATTATTATTTGATACTCTAAACAGCTCTAAAAGCATTTGTTCAAATGTTGATACAGTTGTTCTGGCATCGATAATATAATTCCCTTGTTCACAAGACTTATTATCTGGGTTTAGTATAAATACACCTCCCCATCTAGGACTGACAAAAGCATTTGTCTGCGATCTTACATTATTGTTATCATAAATATACAAAGGCGACTTGCAATGTGGAAAATATACAACTAGGTTTATACTGGGCCTTGGAGATAAATGTGACCAGAACTTACTTTCTAACGGAGTAATAATATGAGGTAACTGACTTTCTGACAGTGCAAGATGACCGTTTACTCTATGAGGAATGACACCAAGCTCAGTCAAATACAACCACTGTGATTTAATAAAAAAATCGGCTATTGGTAGGTGTTTCTTGGCAAAATTATCTAAAGCTGCATCGATTTGGAGGATATCCACGTCGATTGAGAGACTACTTGGATCGGGATGAACAAAATTTATTAAAAGATCGTATTCTAAACTTAAGGGTATTCCGAATTCACTAACAGTTTTGTTTCTAAGTTGTAGTTCATCAATTGCATTTAGAGGTAATGTGGCTCTGTAAACTCTAGTTGTGTACCACCATATAGGTTTTCCTAGTAATACTAGTACGATAAAATAAGAGAGAATACTGTAGGTTCTCTTGTTGTCTCCTAAAAACACAAAAAACTTAAGGAAAAATAGATGTAATACAAAAAAAATTACCATTGTTGTTGTCAATGATTTTTTTGGATTTTGCAGCTTCCTCAGCTTTCTCTTTGTTCGCTATTAAGGTCGCTATTAATAATTGTCTCTTTAAAACCATTTTACTAAGCCATAAAATAATAAATATAAATATGAAAAAACTAGGTTATATTTATTTACATTAGCCTCAGACAAATAATATATTGTAGGGGTATTAAGATTAAGATATTCTTTGATTGTAGTCAAATTTAAGTATGCTCTATAGTCAAATGTATTAAAATTATTAAACAAATTCTTTGTTTATTTTTATTTAAACCAGAGAATAGATTTAAACAGGATTTAAGTAATAACACTTTGAGAAGATTCTACATTTTTCAGGTGATATAGTTACTTCGTTTAAAAATTTGCAAAGAAATTATGAAAATCTAGGCAAGTACTTTGTGAAACACTTTAAATAAATACTTAATTTCGAATTAATATTTCTCTTTAGGCTTTACTTTATAGATTTTTGTTTGCTCTAAAGACAAAGAAAACTGCTAAATAGAATACTCTTAATTTTTCAAAATTGAAGTACTCTTAATAATAAGCAAAGTTAATAAGTACCTAAACATATTCATAATTTCTAACAGCTCCTAAATTTATAATTTTAAGATCAATGATTTTTTAAAAGGAATTAAACAATCATAAAAGATTGTTTCAAAGCTTGCAGAATTCTTGACTATTCAAAATATGAAAAGTTTTCATTTTTGTTACAACAATAACTCATTTTAGAGCTATTTTTTAAATAAAACAAAGGGATAATGTTAATTATTATTAATTTATTTTATCTAGTAATAAAAAAACATTGGCACAGCCAAAAATAAAATCATATACCTAAACAGGGCTGAAATCAGATTTCAATACAAAAAAAATCGTGAACAATAAATAATACTCGTTATACAAAATCATGACAGTGGAATGAAGAACATATTACAACACATGTCCTGTTGATATATATAAAAAATAAACTCTTAACGACAAACTTAATCGACTTCTTCCATTCGAGAGGCATCTTCGGCATCACCGCTGTCCGCAGGCACGTCGGCAACAGCGGGTTCTTCAGTCAGCATAGCTTCCTCCTCGTCGATTCCCAGTCCAAGCTTGATCATCCGGTAAATCCTGGAAGCGTGAACCTGGGGCTCTTCCAGAGTGAACCCTGAGCTAAGGAGGGCAGTTTCAAACAGAAGAATGACTAGATCCTTGACAGCTTTGTCGTTTTTGTCAGCTTCGGCTTTCTGACGGAGGTTTTCAACGATTGGATGGTCGGGGTTGATTTCGAGATGTTTCTTCGCCGCCATGTATCCCATGGTGGATGTATCGCGAAGAGCTTGAGCTTTCATGATACGCTCCATGTTAGCTGTCCAGCCGTATTGAGATGTGACGATACAGCAAGGAGATTCAACCAATCTGTTGGATACTACGACTTTTTCGACTTTGTTATCCAAGATGCTCTTCATGACCTTACACAAACCTTCGAACTTAGCCTTGTCTTCTTCGCGTTTCTTCTTCTCATCTTCATCCTCGGGCAATTCAAGGCCTTCTTTGGTTACAGAAACTAAAGGTTTTCCGTCATATTCTTTCATTTGTTGGACGACATATTCATCGATGGGCTCGGTCATGTAAACAACTTCAAATCCACGCTTCTTGACGCGCTCAACAAAGGCAGAGTTGGCTACTTGTTCCTTACTCTCTCCAGTAATGTAGTAGATGCTCTTCTGGTTCTCCTTGATACGGCTCACATAGTCTTTCAAGGAACACGCTTCATCACCGCTTGCAGAAGTGTGGTACCTGAGTAAATCAGCCAATTTAGTACGGTTCTGCGAGTCCTCGTGAATACCCAATTTCAAGTTCTTAGAGAACTGTTCGTAGAACTTCTTGTAACCATCCTTGTCTTCAGATAATTCTTCAAAAAGTTCCAAACATTTCTTTACGAGATTCTTGCGGATCACTTTCAGGATCTTGTTCTGTTGCAGGGTTTCACGGGAGATGTTCAGAGGAAGATCTTCAGAGTCAACGACGCCTTTGATGAAGTTCAGGTATTCGGGAATGAGTTCTTCACAGTTGTCCATGATGAATACTCTTCTTACGTACAGTTTAATGTTGTTCTTGCGCTTCTTGTTTTCGAACAGATCGAAAGGAATTCTGCGTGGAACGAAGAGGAGAGCTCTGAATTCAAGTTGACCTTCAACACTGAAGTGTTTTACAGCCAAATGGTCTTCCCAGTCGTTGGTGAGGGATTTGTAGAATTCACCGTATTCTTCCTGGCTGATGTCATCAGGATTCCTGGTCCAGATTGGTTTGGTTTTGTTCAATTCCTCATCTTCGGTGTATTTTTCTTTGATGGTCTTCTTCTTCTTTTTCTCTTCCTTTTTGTCTTCATCCTCATCCTCGCCGACATCTTCGATCTTTGGTTTATCCTTTTCCTCACCTTCTTCCTTCTTTTCTTCTTCAGCCTCGTCTTCACTCAATTCCTTTTCTCTTTCCTTTTCCACCAGCAATTTGATGGGGTAACCAATGAACTGGGAATGTTTCTTGACGATTTCCTTAATCTTGTTCTCTTCCAAGAACTCAGTTTGGTCTTCCTTGATGTACAGGACGATCTTGGTACCGCGTCCCAAAGGTTCCCCATGGTCTGGACGAATAGTGAAGCTACCTCCAGCAGAAGATTCCCAAATGTACTGTTCGTCATCGTTGTGCTTCGATACTACAACAACCCTGTCTGCTACCAAGTAGGCTGAGTAGAAACCCACACCAAACTGTCCAATCATGCTGATATCGGCACCGGCTTGGAGAGCTTCCATGAAAGCTTTGGTTCCAGACTTTGCAATGGTACCCAAATTGTTGACTAAATCAGCTTTGGTCATACCAATTCCGGTATCAATGAGTGTGAGGGTTCCTTCGCTCTTGTTGGGGATGATTTTGATGTAGAGGTCTTTGCCAGAGTCCAGCCTGGATGGGTTGGTGAGAGATTCATAGCGGATTTTGTCCAAAGCATCGGAAGAGTTGGAGATCAATTCTCGGAGGAAGATTTCTTTGTTGGAGTAGAAGGTGTTGATGATCAAGCTCATCAACTGAGCGATCTCGGCTTGGAAAGCGAAGGTTTCGACGTCTTGGCTTTCTTCAGGCATCTGTAATTAAAAAAAATAATATTTAGACATCTATTTTTTGAAATTTAAGTCGAAATAATGGATGAATTCAAAGGTTCAACAAAAAAAGCTAGAAAATCATAAATTATAACTTGAGCTTTAAACATATTTTTTAATCAATTGTTTTAACAAAACAATATACAGGGTGAGTCTTATCTCGACAAAAAAAGATATTTTCTCTTTACCGTTTTTCAAGTAAGTCCAAAATAACCGAAATATTTTAATTGAAAATTAAAAAAAAATACTTTTTTGAGAACCACTGATCTTTTCTGGGTTTTTTTGTAAATTTTATCTACTACATATACCTATACCTACAATATGTTGCCATATTATGAAGATGTTTTTAACTATGAATAAAAAGAAAAATCCCAAAAAATTTCAAATTAAAAAAAATTCAAGAAGAAACCTCATAGACGTGTTTCTGCGATCGAAATATACCCCTTAAAGTATTTGCACTTATTTAAGACTCACCCTGTAGAACTTTTATTGTTGTAAATGAGTCATTGAAGTATTTTACTAGAATTTATACAGAGTGAATATTAAATAAGTACACATATTTTCAGGGCTGGTAGAAATGGATAAAAGAAACATAAAAAATGTCTATACCTATGTGGCCGATTCATTTCTCCCAAAAAAAAATACTGGACTTTTTCAGAGAAAAGAACCATAATTTTAAGCCCAAAATATAACAGTTAATTTATTAATTTCAGAATTTAAAAAAATTATTTTTATTTTTTTGTTTCCTCTAAATTTAATCTCTACCACTTATGTCCCCGCATATTATCAAGACACCTACCGTATGATCGAAAATAAACGGCGTCAGCGATGGATATGGCTATGAAATGAAGAACGCTGTCATTTTATATGGGAAATGTCATCGATCGTCATTTCCCAGCCAACTGGACGCCGTTTTTTTTCTCGATCATACGGTATTATATTTTTAACTAAAAATTTAAAAAATTCGAACAATATTTTCGAAAAATTGAAAATTCCCAATTTTTTCCATCAAACAAACCTCATAGACGTGTTCCTGAGGTCGAAATACAACAGCTATAAAAATATGTACACTTATTTAAGACTCACCCTGTATAGTTATTATTAAAATTTCAAGACTCGGTATTTAAGAAAAATAGAATTTTAAAAAATCATAAAATCCCTGGTTGGGCATTTTTAAAATACTCATAAAAAATAGACGACATTAATTACATATTTTGAAAAAAAAATCGACCTAACACCAAAAAAAAATCTGTAAAGGTTGCACAATAGTGAAAAAATCTTCTGGAATTTGAAGTAAAATTACGAAATTATAAAATGTTCTACAAAACCCCAAAAATAAATTAAATGAACTATCCAACCTGAACACCTCCCTTTAAAAATTAAATTTCAGAAAAATTTTATAACGAAAGAGGAATTATATATATTTCGAAAGTATTTTTAGAAAATTCTATAAAGAAAATCAAAAATAACCAACACAGGAAAATATTTTTTATCGAAAACCAAAAGCAAAGCGTTATTTTCAATGGGTGCGCCATGAAAGAATTCTCTAGAATAATTTTGAAAAGTCAAAGACATTAAAAAATTGAAATAAAAATGATTTAACAAAGAAATGGGGCGTTAAAATGAGTAATATTTAATAGGAAACAATTTAATTATTTCAAAAGAAGCACGGTTTTCAATAAAACCCTTCCTTTGTTACGAACGACGAAAAATGCCGGAAAAACTTCAACATTTTTCATTTTAATGACAGCGAATTAAATCAAACAAAAAATAACATGAAAATACGAACTTACCTTTGTAAATTTGCGTCTATTTCAATAAAAAAATAAAATTCAATGAGTCGCTGGGGATTTTTCGCACTGCTTGGCTTCGCACGCTCGGCACAAGTTTTATTTCAATTCTGACAACGCGCTTCTGAAACCGACAGATTTTATAAGCGTCGAAATTCCAGATTGTTCTCGATCGCAATGGAACGTTTTCGAAGCAACCGGTCATGGATTTTGTGAGAGAGAAAGCAGTAAGCTTCCGGAATATTCGGCGCTAAATTCAAAACAACCATGCTATTTTAATCTGGTGTTTTAGTAAATAAATTGCTTAAAATAAAGTATATTTTAATGTTTTGTTTGTAATTGTAAGGTTTTTACGTTTTACATATAGTTTTTTTCTAAATGTATGTGTAAAAAGTAACTTGATCACTATTAAATTGGGATATTGCAAATATGCATCTGAATTTGTATTCTTGGACTTGTAACATACATTTTATACGTATCTTTGAATGTCTACATGTTTTAAAATTAAAATATTATTGGGTATTACCTATTATTGATTTACCTATTTCTTAAATAGGTATTAAATCATTCAATCAAAGTTTATGAAGAAAGCAAACAAAATGTCCATATTAATATATTATAGATACCTACGGTTGTTTCAATTAAGTTATTTGGTGCTAAGATTTAGCAAGAATATTTCAATACTCTTTTAAAAATAAAATCACTTCTTGAAAGATATTTTTAGACATGTTTTGTAGATTTTAACCAGGATCACAGACCAGGATTCTCTGTACTGTTTTTTCAATAAAGGCGATAAACATAACAAAGTGTGTAAATAATGCGAAAATTTAAGGGTAAAAGCCTTGCTAGAAAATAATGAATATTGGTTTTTACGAAATATTAAAATATATATTTTTTAAAAATAAGGCCTCTAGAAAATTCCACTTTCAACCTGCTTTCAACGTAGATTAAAGAAATCACATATTTCAACATATTTCTCTCTTTCTTTATGAAACTTTTCATTGTGGGAAAGAGAGAGAAAGATAGTAATAAGTTGTGGATAGATGTGGAGAATAAATTATCTGACAGACGGTGTCAAATATTTTCAAATGTCAAATTTTAACGGTTTTGTGTTTTCAACCAAATTTTCTTTAGATTATTTTAACAATTTTAAGCGTATTTATTTAATAATTTCGATAATGACCACAGCTGCTGTGAAAAACAAATCTGCCATAACGGTTAAGGGATCAGCTGACATAGTTTGTGACTATTTAAGTCAGAAAATCTCAATATAACGTTATCAAGTTCTTGTAACAGTTTCTTTTTTATTTTAGATTATGGAATTAACTCTATCTTATATCAGAGGGGTTTATACCCGCCTGAAAATTTCAAAACTGAAGAGAATTATGGCTTGAATATACTTATGTCCACGGACAATAAGATTAAAGATTATCTAAGTACAGTTTTGGGACAATTAAAAGGTAAAGTTTTTGATCTATTATACTTCTGATGATTAACCTAGGCTCTTGTATAGATTGGCTAGCGATGAGAAGAGTGAACAAAGTAGCTTTAATTATAACGAACGTAAAAAGTCTTGAAGTGATGGAACGGTGGGATTTCAAAGTTGAATACGAAGGTGACACCGAATTGGGAGATGCACAAGTATCGGAAAAACCCTTAAAACAAATCAAAAACGAGATTAGGGATGTTTTGAAACAGATCACTTCATCAGTAACATATTTACCTTTGTTAGATTGTATTTGTAGTTTTGATATTCAGATTTATGCGAAAGATGATATTGAATTGCCCGAAGAGTGGGCTCAGGCCGAACCAGCTAATATTAAAAATGCCCAATCTGTGAAAATGAGGTCGTTCTCTACAAATATACATAAGATGGAAACCATTGTTACTTATAAACTTGAAGACTGAAATAGGTAGTAGTTTCTTAATTTTTTTAAATGTTATTTTATTAAGTTTGTTTACAGTTAGGCCATGTTTCTTTTAATTATAAGTGAAATTCTTTTTTTATTAACTCGTTAGGGATAGGATAGTGCTGAAATAAAAAACAGAAACAAATATAAATTTTGATGATTTCTATATTTTTATATTTCAGTAATAGTTGCGAAGCATTTGTGTTATAGTTCATAACAGATTTTGTTTTAAAAGGTAATCAATAAAAGTTGCATTTACTGTGGCACCAAGTAAACAAATTGGTTGATAAAAAGTCTCTATGTTGAATGTTGTTATAAAAACTTGCTAACAATTTTATTTAATTAGGATTTGAGTAATAATCACAGACAAATTAGTAATTTAGATATAAAAAACATACTTGTATATGTATTGTTATTAGAGTTGGGGGTTGGAACTTTTTTTTTGGTGTTACAACAGCAAAATAAAACACTAATTCGCCACACTACACCAAAACACTTACTTTTGCACTGGATGCGCGTTTCGCTAACCATGTTAGCATCATCAGCAGACTATTAAATGCCAACTTTTATTCATTTTTCTATAAATAATTTTCTTACATGATACAGTGATTTTCAAAATACTGGCAAGATTTACAGTCATATATTTCTATAACAGAAAGACAAAAAATCAAAAAATATTCAAAATATCTATATTTTCATAGCACCAAAAAAGGGAATTCAAGATTTATAGCACCTACAATTTTATAATTGAAATCAAATTGAAATAACTTGAAGAATAAACCAGATATTAACTCAGCACTGGAATAAAAAAAAAGTAATTATAAATCTAAAAAGTCTATATTTTAACATCAAAGTATTTTCTTTAAGTATAGTTTAATGGACTAATAATACTGGCATATCCTTTTCTTGTAAATATTTAATTCACTCGAAGCTGCATATTTTTAATCATTTAATACTGATTGTCCTAACATTTCGAATTAGAAAAACCACATGAACATTTTTTTTCAAAATTTGTCTTGTCTCACTAATTCAACTAAATCCTTCTATGATTTTTTTCATATATATGGGAATTATCCAACTGATAGCTCTCAAATATGATTCTTTATGAAATATTTAACAATTTTTTTTTTCTTCAAAAATTTAAATAAATTTAAAAAGTCAGGTTAAGTAATCATTTTCTTCTTTTAATATTTTGTGTTCTGTGCAGCCCGAGTTTAATAAACTCTGTTATCTTAGGATCAAAATTCTGAAGAGAAGAAAACGTCATTTGTAATTCTAACCCAACTTTTTTTGTTTACATTTTTTTCTTGAATTTAAATTCTGGCATCTCTACAAATCTGGAAATATACATCTTCAAAGTGATATCGGCGCACAGACATATGTAGCAACGATTATTATAACAATTAACAATGTTCCTATTACAAATAACAATGTAGTAAGTAGATAAAAGCGAACGTTTTCTAATCATCTATATAACTTATAAGGTAAATACGACAATCAGCTTAGAGATTCACAGACTAAACTAATTCATTCATATATCTAGCTGGTCGTCGTTATCACATTCTGCGAGTATCTTAACAATACAAAATATTTTTAGCATAAATTCCTATTAAAATGCCCCCTCCTTCATGTTACAATAAGTTACAATAACTTTCTCTTTGTTAATTTAGTCAATAAATAATATATAATGAGTATTTACATCAATGCTAAGTCCTAATGCAAGCAGCTTATCTTTGGTATAGTTTCGTTTTTCATAAAATATATATGTTTCCATATATGTCTTCTATAGGTGTGTCCAAGACATTGCAAGTTGTAATTTTGTTCCTAAAAACGTAAAACCAATAGTTATTTAATAAATATCCAATGTTTCAAAGGCTTACCGTCGTAAGAGCTTGAAATAATTATATATCTTCTTAATATCAATCTGAAATCAGTACAAAGTTTATTTAAGACACTTGTATATGTTTTATTAAGTGTAACTTCATGCAATCTATTCTAGTTTGAAAAGAATACTATATTTTTATTAAAGCAGTTAGTAAAATTAAGTAAAAAATCAACATAAATAAATAATTTTTGTCATAGAGAGGGTATAGTGTATAATAAATTAAATACAATGATTAAAACGATTATTTTGCTAGATAACTAAGGATTTTTAGGAACTATAGCCTCTCTTTATGCTTAAAAATACTAATAAAACATAATTAAATTGAAAAACTGCCTATTTTTGGAGGTTTGAGGATAACTGCAATTTAACTAACTACTATAGAGTGTACTAAATCTACTATATATCTACAAACATGCCTAAAAAATAATGTTAAGTACATCTGACTCACAACAAATCTAAACAAAATTATTATTGTCTAGTACAAAATGATTAGTAAGTTATGTTTTTGGTTAATGTTAGGTATTTGTGCAAAAATCAAATTCAAAAAAACTCTTTTACTTACATACCTATCGAAATTTGAAGTAACCATCATGGAACTATATAATTGTAGGGGTTTTTCCAATTACAGATTAGAGAAAAATAAAATACAATAGTTTTAAGTTTTTTCTATTTTCTCTTTTATTAATCAAAATGTTACAGCTAGACTTTTTGTTATATATAAATACTTTTTTGGATTTCAGAGTTTGTTGTGAGTATAGATGTAATAAATAAATTAATTTATGTACAAGATTATACAAAAAAAATGGAGTAATATATATAGTTTAAAAATGGTTCCCTGACTTTGTTTGATTTATTCTCTTAGTTAAGAATGTAAAAAATGTCAATAATTAACCAAATTCAATAGTTCAGTTTTATACAGTGTGTTTAAAGATTTTTTTGTTTATATGTGTTATTTCTAAAATGGTAATAACAATTTTTCAAAAAAGTGTTGTAAACTGAAGAAAAAATATTTTGAAAGTTGTGTAATAGAAATATTTTATTTATTTAATGCCAATTAGTGTTACTTGACAAAATGGTGAAGTAAAAGTTAAAAATAATAAATACCCAGTCTCGCAATGCAGTTCTTCCGAGTCTGTGATTTTAGTTAGTGTCTATATACAGGGTGCTACAAATTCGTGGTACGAGCATTGGTATCTCGGAAACCGTAATAGATAAGAACATAGTTAAATTGGGGCAAATTTGCCCCTTAGGAATTTTCCAAAAATTTCAAGGATTGCTTGAAAATCAATTTTAATTTTTCCTGTCGTTACTTTTTAGAAAATCGAAAAACTAATTGCACATTCTCATAGCCGTTTTATCAGGGTTATCTGGCAGTATTTTTAGATTTTCAAATTAGCTAATAGTTTCTGAGATACATGGGGCAAATTATTTTTTTTTAAATACGGACCTGCATTTTTTATTTCAAGTTTTGAAAGAATTCATTCTCCTACGATGTGCCACACTTAATATTTTTGTTATTTTGGGTACTTAACAATACTATTTACACTAATTTCAAGTCCGGCTCTGGGTTTTAAATTATTTTACTTCGTTATATTCATTGTAACAATATTGATGAGCGCTAATCAACATTTAATAAAATTAAATAGATTAAATATGTTAAAAAACCAGGGCCGGACTTGAAATTGGTTTAAATAAATTGTGTTTAACTAACCTCTATTTAAAAAATTAATTGAATTGAATTAAAAAGAAAATATATTGTTTTATACAGGGTGAGTCTTAAATAAGTGCAAATATTTTCAGGGCTGGTAGATCTCGATAAAAGAAACATATTTTCTCTTTACCGTTTTTCAAATGAGTCCAAAATAACCGAGTAATTACTTTGAAAATTTCCAAAAAAAATATTTTTTTGCTTAAATTTTGACAACCCCTGGGTTTCCTTTCTTGTAAATTTAATCTACTACCTATGTTACCACATTATCAAGAAATTATGTTTTTTAACTAAAAAGTAAAAAAAATTCAAAAAAATTTTCTGCGGTTTCACAAAAAAATAACCAAAAGTTTAAGTTAAGTTTTTGTCAAAACCACTTATCCGATTTGGACGATTTTTTTTTCAATGATAGGTTATTCTTTCCACAATGTTGCTATACTAACTGTATTTTGATAGGAGCCCTTTTTATACTAATACCGGGTGTAGCAATTATAACGTGTTTTTTTAATAAAATTTGTGACACCTGTAGAGTTGATCAGTTACAGTATCAAGTTAAAATTGAAATCACATTTTAGCCTTATCTTTTTTTTACATTTTGTTTTTTTATTTACTCCATTATCTTTCTTATTACACGAGAAACAACATTTTATAGGATGACATGATTTAATATTGTTTTTAATTAACATTTTGCCATTTTACTCACTAAAGTAAGTAGCAGGCTATGGAAAAACACGGATTACCAGTAAATGTCAAATAGAGATGCTAGTTTCTGTGCAAACTTGTAGACCATTAGTATCTCTGAGCTGAGTTTGAAGGGTCCGAGCTGTTACGAAACGTTGTCTTAATGTTGAGAGTTTTAAAAAACGTTCCTGAATCGGATTGGTTCTTCGATTCCTGCCTTGTCCCGGCCTGCGACAGTTACTCCCAGTATCTCTATACCGTTGTATAACTCGTGAAATGGTTGAGTGAGTTACATTAAGCTCCAACCTTCCTCAGACAATATTAATGCTTGAGCACATTCTTCGCCAGTAAGATTTCTTGTTTCACGTGCACGTTGCATATTTTTGATATAATAAAAGGACGAAAACGACTGACACTGACAACAAGCATCTCTATTTGACATTTACTGGTAATCTGTGTTTTTCCATAGCCCGCTACCTAAAATCAAAAAATGTTAATTAAAACCAATATTAAATCATGTCATCCTATAAAATGTTGTTTCTCGTGTAATAAGGAAGATAATGAAGTAAATAAAAAAACAAAATGTAAAAAAAAGATAAGGCTAAAATGTGATTTCAATTTTAACTTGATACTGTAGCTGATCAACTCTACAGGGTGTCACAAATTTTATTAAAAAAAACACGTTATAATTGCTACACCCGGTATTAGTATAAAAAGGGTTCCTATCAAAATACAGTTAGTATAGCAACATTGTGGAAATAATAACCTATCATTCAAAAAAAATCGTCCAAATCGGATAAGCGATTTTGACAAAAACTTAACTTAAACTTTTGGGTATTTTTTTGTGGTGCGTTAATTTATTGGGGAAGTGTGGGATCGTACCCCTAAAAATATTTGCACTTATTTAAGACTCACCCTGTATAATTAGTTAGTTAGTTCTTTTAAAACTGTTAGTAATAAAATTTATATAATTATAATTCTAAAAATAAACGTTCTCGTTTGCTTTGATAATTATAATTCCGTTTCAACTTTTATAATATTTTATCTTCAATACTATTACTTAATTTAATAACTTTAAACATTTTGGAAATAAACAATATATTAGAATTGCAGACTAAATCCACTTTATATAAACTTTTTATTTTGTGTTTGACTGAACATTGAACTTGATTAAATACTGAGGGATGTGCTCAATGAATAATTTATGTATCCCCTACTCATACAAAAAAAGGACAACTTATAAAAATACAAATAGTAGGTATGTATATACATAGTATATATAAATCTGATGTATGATTTAGGAGTGTTAATTTTTCGTTCTGGTGAATTTACTATGTAAGGAAATACACAGGGCGACCTAGTCTTTTGAGGCAGGACTGCAACAATCAAGAGGAAAAAATATACTTTTAGATGAAGATTTCAATCAGTGAAGATATTTAAAGAAATATAGCTTTGTGTTTTATAAAACTTAATTTTCAAAATATATTTTCTCTGAAAGTTGCTACAAAAAACGGACCACCCTGTATAAAAGATCTTTTAAACTTATTTTGGAAAACAAACTGTCTGTTGTAGATATTTATTTTTTCTCTGTGTGTGTATTGTAATGTAATTTCAGTGAAATAAGTACATATAGATTGTTTTCTCTTAGCTCGTCATTTTCTGTAATTTTTTAGCTCTACTTAAAAAACCGGAAGGTTTAGGTATAGGAACATGATATATTTTGTTGAAAAGCGATTTTATTAGTCTTTTGATTTTAAAAAAATATACATAGCCACATTTTTTTTATTTTTTCGATAGCGACTGTTAAAATTGTCTTATATCTATCAAAAATAGTAAATAAAATAATATTTTAACCGCAAGGGTAGATTAAATGATACTTTAACAGCGAGGATAGGTTAAAAACTTTATTTCTTCTCGCACGTTTAATTGCCTCCATTTTTGAAAATTTTTGTATTCCTTTTCATAAGTTATTCGGGATTTAAATGGAAGAAGTAGTTTGGATGTGGCGTTTGTCGCCTCAGCCTGAATATCTGTTGGTAATTTACTTATTTCGTTTTGAGCCATTTCTGGCTCCAATTCAATCAGCAATCGACACGAAAGAGAATTAAAAAATATTGACTCAAAACTGACAACTAAAGAGACAGCTTTATTTATTTGTCAAATTACATAGAAACTAACGCCATCCCAGCACAATATTTTTTCTACTCGTAATAAATTCCTTGAAATAATAATTTCTGAATATTTTTTAAAACGTAACTTGCTATGGAAAAAAAACATTGTTTTATACACGTAGTGTTGTAAATGGAAATATTGGAAATTTTCAAACGTGTCTCGGAAATATTGGGAATATTGAAAATATTTTTAAAAACACTTAAACCTTGTCATTAACGATTCAATCCCGATGTTTATTTATATATCTTTCATATTTTGTAACCCTATATAATAATATTTTTTCCTATTTTCTTCAGCAAGTTTTCATTGTGGGATACATAGAGTAGCTTAGCGGCTCTATCATTAGTAAGCCTGTTTCTCTTTTAGCGTTTATAGTAATATTCATTCTTTTAGCGTTTATAGTAATATTCATTCAAAAAAGAGAAACAGGCTTACTAATGATAGAGCCGCTAAGCTACTCTATGTATCCCATAATGAAAACTTGCTGAAGAAAATAGGAAACGGCAATAGATCAATTTTTATTTCCGATACTATTGAAGATTTTGAGGAAGTAGGCTGGCAAGAAGATGTTATTGATATAGATATATGCCTCTTGCTCGACTAGTGTGTCAAAAATATTTTTTTGTACAAATTTAACCTTAATTTATTTTTTAATTTGAAGAATAACTTATTTTGTATTTTGCGATGTTTTGTTATGATTTTTATAAATAAATATTTCAGTTTTTCTTATTTTTTAAAATATTTCATATATTTCCAATATTTCCATATATTTCCAATGTTTTCAGGAAATATTTCCGAAAATATATTTCTGGAAATCTTACATCACTATATACACGACGATAAAATACCATTTTATTGTCTTGTATAAAAATAACTATTATTTCCTGACATTGTCATTCGCTTTGACACTTTAGTTTGACGAGTTTAACAAGTATTACGAGTTTTTGCTTTAAATCAATAGTGTTGTGCTACTTTAAGCTTAAAAATGTTTACTAGCAGACATGCTGCAGTCGACCATTGTTCTTTTTAGAATCTCTTTTAATGCGAAGTGGTAAAAGATAGCTTAATAGCCGTAAAAAATTCATCGCAACTTTATTAGAATATTTTTATGTCCGTTAAGTGCTGTTAAGCAGGTGAGTTTTGTTGATGTAAATAATAAATGTTTATATATTCTTGTTTCCTAAAATATTTTGATTAAAAGAAAATATGTAAATGTGGGCAACGCTGTGCCGGTCAAGCTTAATCACGTGACTGAAAATTTGTTTGGTATGAACTGCATTTTAGTTGACTAAAAACGTTATTCATATACTAAAACCCCTCAGTCTCTACTTATTTCTCTGAAATTTAAATTACCACACACGGTTAATTGATGTTAAGTTTAAAAAATCCTGGAAAATTCGAAAGTTTTTAAATGTTTGATATATTCGGAATGCATTTCATCTGGGCAAAAGGACTGAAGAATATTTTTTCAAAAAAAAAACGACGATTGTTTTGGTCTTATAGCTGTCTCTGGCTTACTAATAAAATATAAATCTCTTAACAGTCTTATACAAAAAACAGGATCATGTACAAATATACAGTGCGTTTGTGGCATATTATGCCTAAACGCTTTATGTACAAGTGGTGAATTGTGTAATTTATCTCTTATTACACGTCTCTTTATTTCTCTATATGTTTCTTTCTCAATATATATTTGTATTGTGGCTTGTTTAGCAATAATATTTTGTGGACAGTCCTAATGTACATGTGTATATTGGAGGTTGGGGATACATACTGGTATCGGGTCGGACGTCCTTCATATCACACCGCCACCCCTGGAATCCCACTGGACACCTGAAACAGGAAACATACGAAAAATTAAGCAAAAGACTCACAACATCACATTTCATAGAGAAATACTCATAAATCCCATGAATAATGTAACATATTAAAAAAGATAAAAAAATGAGTGTGAACTATTAGCCGGAGAGCTGGCGACATATTTAGAGAACATATTTTAGGCAAGTTAGAATAACAAAAAAAAATAAAGTTTAATAACTTGTGAACCCAGAATCCTAAGTCTGGCTGGGGGGTTGGGGGTATTTCGCTACTGCGCAACCAGGTCGCTGCTACCTGTAATTCCATTAAATCAAATGATACAACGCGCACTAACGACCACTACCAAGCCTGGTCGTTGGCTGGTCGCTGCGACCAGTGGACTCCTGAGTAAATTGCACTAAAATATTATTTTTGATCTGCCCTGTATAATCTTTTTTTTTCTTTCTCTACAATGTGTAAAAACTATACTAATTAACACCTACTGTAATTACCGTTAATATTTTAAATGCTTTATTTATATAATATTAGAACATTTATTAGGCTCATGAATAGGAATTTCGCTTTTTAGTTAACTCGGATATTTTAACATTTCTGAAAACAGTATTTTCTAATTGGTTAAACGTAAAAAATCGTTAGATCTGCCAGCCCTGCTGAAACTAATCGTTTATCTGGACACACCTATATATACGTAATATATCCGTGGTCGCTGCGACCTTATCTGCTTCATTCTTCATTATCTGATTATCTGAAAAAATGTGTTTGTTGTTTTAAAATTTGAGTCAGCCAGTGGGGAAGAATGCACAAACGAAGCACTTTTGAGAGGTAAATTGTGTCTTATATGTACTTATTTTGATTCCCAAAATACGTAATAGTTCTATGTCCATGAAATCCATGAAAAAATGCTCAGACAGTCAGGCGGCACTTGGGGCGCTTATGAGCCCAAAGGTGTCGTCCAGACTCGTCCAGGAATGCCTAGGTGAACTGGGAGCTCTGGCAAGAAGGAACAGAATTAAATTATTCTGGGTGCCTGGCCACAGCGGCATTCAATGCAACGAAAAAGCCTTAAGTCTATATCTCTGGAAAAGCCGATGAGCTAGCTAGGCAAGGATCATCGGCATCCTATTTTGGTCCAGAGCCAGTACTGGGAATACCCGAATGTATGGCTCGTAGCGCATTAAAATTCTGTATTAGGGAAAAGCAGAATGTCCACTGGAGAAACAGACAGGGACACAGGCACAGACAAAAACACCCAGACATCAATTTTCATCTTAATAACGATGTTAGTTAGGCCTCAAACAGGGATGTTGCCTATCTCCTGTTCTATTCAAAATATACCTGCAACAAGCACTAAAAAAATGGATGCTTAAGTGTAGAGGAATGGGAATCCCCCTAATAAATGAGGACACCCTATACACCCTATTTTTTGCGGACGACCAGATAGTCCTAGCCCAAGATCACGACGACCTTGAATATATGGCAAGGAAGCTGATAGAGGAGTATAAGAAATGGGGGTTGGAGGTAAATATCATCAAGACTGAATGTATGACTGTAGGGGGGCCACAAGAGAACATAGTCTTAGAGGATGGAAGCGTGATAAAAAACTGTGACAAATATAAATATCTCGGATTAAAAATTACTAACGATGGAAAACTCGACGAGGGTATAAAAGATCGAATAATGCAAGGCAGAAGGGCAATATCTACGCTGAATGGTGTACTGTGGGCTCAAGGAATCTCTAAAGCTAATAAGAAGAACGTATATAATACAGTAGTGAAAAGTATAATAACTTACGGAAGCGAAGTATGGCAGTCGAAAAGCAGAACAGAGAACATGCTATTAGCGACCGAAATTGATTACTGAAGGAGATCTGCTGGAAAATCGAAAAGACAACAAATAACCAACAACAGAATAAGGAGATTATGGACGACATAAGAACAAAACAACTCATATGGAAACAACTCATATGGTTTCAAAAATCTTACTGTGGACACCTCGAGGCAGAAATAAAAGAGAAAGGCCGCGACGAAGCTGGAGGGAGGGCGTGGATAAAGAACTAGAAAATAGAGAAATACCTGATGATCTCTGGCTAAATAGACAAGAGTGGAGGTTAGGTGTCGGAAAACGTCGTACAACGTTCCGAACCGACTTATATATATATATAACGATGTTAGTTCAGAAATTATTTGGAAAAAATCGAAATAAAAATGAAACTTCTACACCCTGTATCTCCAAAACTAAGCATTTTAGGACATACATTTATACAAACTTTTTTACTCTTTTTATCTGCAGAATATGCTGCCGAATTTTCCGGACTGCCCTGTAGAGATAAATTGCGTGCAATGTACTTATTTTGATTCCAAAAATACGTAGTCTACGAAATATTGGGACATCCTGTATAATAAATTAATAATAAAAAAATGTTTACTCACTTGCAATATAACATGTAGCCGTCGGGTTCCACGTAGCACTTGCCGCCGTTCATGCAAAAGTTGGCCTGCTCGTCGGGACACTTGCGCGAACTGATCTGCGGCGGGTAGATCCGCGCGGGCGCCTGCGCCTCCTGCTGCGCGGCTTCCCTGAGCACGTCCACCCTTCTAGAGACGGTGGTGCCGTTCAGCGACTGCGCGACGCACTCGTAGCTGCCGTAGTCGCTGCGCTTCGGGCTCCTGATCGTCAGCACGCTCGAAGTCCTGCGAAATCAAGCTGTTTTGTAATTATAAACTATAGACAGTTGGGGCTAGGTGGAATGTATATGTCGCAGGCGTATCGAATAATCCGGCTTTTTGCAAAAAGACTAGGCATAAAGCGCCGGCTTTTTACACAAAAGAAGGAATTTTGACAAAAAGCCTATCTATTTTCAGTCACTTTGCAAAAAGCTTGACAATGATGATATTTTCTGTACACCTCTGCAAAAAGACTGTCTATTGTTGTCAGTCATTTTACAAAATGTCAAATCGAGGTTAGGCAGATTAAAAAAGGATAAAAGTTTAGTCAGCTATGAGCATAGGGATATTGAATAATTTACGCTTTAATAAAAATACCCAATATTTTTCTATACAAAAACAATAATTATTTATGTCAAAATTTCATTATGTTTAGACGAAAACAACTTAAATCCTATTCCATAAATTTTAATTATAAATAACATAATTTTAAATACAAAATATATTAAAACCTTAATATTGATATCTCACTAAATTATTATACTCTGTAATTCGATTCTGTGTACAGGGCAGCTTCTTTGTGGAACTTTGCTTTCTTTTAGAATAAAATGAATTTAGATCTTTATAATAGTCATCCTCAACCATACTCTAAAACAGAATTATCACTTTTTGTGCTGTTATTTCCAAATTTTGAGAGAGAAGTTCAAGAAATGTCGTTGGATAAATTTAGGGTAGTTATGCTAATCTCGCGTAAAATGTTTTGTACAATCTACCTAGTCTACATTAGGCATTTTGCAAAACGACTGAAAACAGATAGGTTCTTTGTAAAATATCCTTCTTTTGTTAAAAACGTCTGCGTTTTATAATATGCCTAGTCTTTTTGCAAAATGCCGAGTTATTCAATACGCCTGCGACATATACATAGAGAGTTAACTTTTTAACACTAAAACTTACCTCTCGTCAGTACTATCATCATCAACATTATAATCCTCATTATCACTTGTAAGCAATAATAACAAACATATGAATTAGATTGACTTTATATTTATATTTTTCAATACATTTTCAGTGTTATTTTTTAATTATAATGAACAAGAATAAGTTACTGAGTAATATTTTTTTAATAAGAAAATGCGACTCATATGTTTATAAGTTATGATCGAGATATTTTTAAAAACTAGTAAAACTGACTGACTGAAACTAAAAGAATTTCGAACTACCATTGCTTACTATTTCATTTAACTGACACAACATTTTGGTTAGAAGTACTACTGACTATCATCAGGTGTCAATTATTTAGAAATAATCGAAATAAAAGTAAATTTTCTATACCTTGTATCTCCAAAACTAAGCAGTTTAGGACATATTTATACGAACTTTTTGCATATTTTTATTTGCAGAATATGCTGCCGAAGTTTTCGGAATACGGTTCGGAACACCCTGTATTAAGCAAGGACAATGGGGGTTCGAAATTCTTTTGATATTAAAACTAAATCATTGTCTACAACAATCAAACCATATGAGTCTTGGTACTATAAAAACACGTTTTTTTAAATAAATATTTATTTGTTAAAGACTAACTTTGGATGTAAGATTATAATTAACTAAATAACGGTTGACTACTTACTTTAAATATTTGATTCGAACAGTCGTACTATTGCTGACGTAACTGTCATTCCTCCTCCACGAGATCCGATGGATGGGGAGGCCCCTCACCCTGCAGGCCAGCTTGATTCTCTCTCGTCTCGTTGAATTCTTTCGGGGGGATTTTATTTCTAATTTTTCTATACTAAGAGGCTTTGGTTCTGTAACAAAGGAAAAGAACTAATACAATCTGACTTAGAGATATTTCTTGACAATTTGGCGAAGGTACTATAGTGTAACAGCCCAAATTCGTCATCAAAGTTGAAGAGGTAATATTTTGGCCAACTGTATAACAAACAATTTTAAATAAAAGAAAGGAAACTACGTTGTGTTAAATGTATTTTTTATTGTGACTACCTCGGATGCGCCTCGACAGAAGCAATATTTTGGGAAATTTGAGGAGAATAGGTTATGTAAATAAAACGCTAAATTTGTAAATAACCGTACTTATTTTATTAAATGAAATGAATGGAGTGCCGTACTCTGCCTGGAATTCACGAGTAAAAGAGCACGGCAGAGAAAACCCCGATCACTACTCCAGAGAATCTAACTATACTGTTCTGGACTTTAATAAAAGAGAAATAATAATAATATATAAACTGTCCTCATACCTAGGTTTATAGTTTAATACATTCAAAAACATTATATCGTTCAAAACTGAAGAAAGTTAGTTTAACGGGTCCCCACCCGTAGGTACGAAGTCCCTGGTTGCGGAGATCGACGCTAAAGTTGAAGGTCTGGTGCAAATATCTTTAGATCATAAGTTTATTTATTGTTTCTGGTTTCCCTTTGCGAGCTAAGATATTCGCCCATGCACGGACGAAAAATGTTAGTACACTCAACAAGGCCCTTATTCCCACAAACCACAAACATCGGCACGAAGGAACAGTAAACGATTTTATTTAGATTACTTTTAAACTGAAATTCTTTACAGCATAAATAGATTCCATTAAATGCATACACATGTTATATATTTTCTTTGTCAGATCAAATAAATAAAGAAATGCTTTAGAACAACATCTTTTTAACTTTAGTTAAATAATGATAAAACATTTACTTTACCTTTAACATTCTTTGTCACAAAACTAAAGAACCAAAAATAATATCAATGCGTCTCCAATGGTAGTCTAAAGGCTATTATCTAACAACTATCATCTCTGTTCGTCGCCTGATTTCCCTCTCTCTAGTTTATGAATAATATTTTAAAAATCAATAATTTTATTTATGTACACAGAGTGTCTTAAAAATGAATGTTTTGAATTTAAAGAAATATGTCTATTTTTAAATAGGCGGTTCATCTCAGTACATATTTCTTAAAAACTAAAATTCATAATGAAAGCCAAAAGATTGATAAAAAAAATACAATTGGATTATTTTTTAATTAACTTATAGGTTATAACATAATTGTAGTTGTAGATGAGAGAAGTTTGATTAATCTATTACTATTAAATAATTTAGTTACTAGCAAAAACATGTGGGCAACAAGATTATTATTTCAATTTTAAATATAAATAATCTCGAAAGCGTGAATACAGGCGATTTATCTCGCAGATAATCCATTTAAATATAGTTTCGATTATTAGTTCACTTAAAATTTGTAAGCAAGCCAAAAATGTAGCGCCTGTAGCTGTAATACTCTCGCACATCCTTATTACTCACGTTCAACTCGTTGTAAGATCGTTATTTCTTTTTGGCAATGGAAGACGGCTCAGTTTCTATTGTTTTGATTCACCGTACTATCTACGAATTACTGTATACCATGCATACATCATTTATATTTATGTATTCTAAATAAAAAGTACAATGCATACATCATTTATATTTATGTATTCTAAATAAAAAGTACAATCACTATTTTAATAATAACTGTAATGTTTGAAGGTTGTAATATAGTCCGTCTAGAAAGTATCCGGAAAAAAGAAAGCAGAATTACAATTATCGATATATATTTTTAGGACTTGAGTTAAAAACATTATAACAAATTTTTAATTTGATTTACTTATTTACTTATACAACCTCCATTCAACTCCAAACACTTAACTAAACCTCCAGGTACACCCGAAACTGGGTCCGCACCATAATGTTCAGTGGCGGTAGTCCAGGTCTGTAAAACTGAGCGAATCAAATCTTGTTTATTTCGTGGAACTGCTCGTTCCACTTCAATCTTCATTAGTCCTCATATGTTTTCAATGGGACTAAGGTCTGGTGAAGCTGCTGGCTATGGAATTGTTGCCAAATGGTGTTCTTGCATCCAAGCTTGGGTATAGGCAGACGTATGGCATCTTGCATTATCCTGCTGAAAACGCCACCTCTCTAGATATAAAAAATAATCCGTTTCAAAAAGAAAACCATTTAAAATATCACAATATTTTGCATTATTAACAGTTCCATCAACTATACACAGAGGTGTAGCACCACGCTGAGATATTACTCCCTAAACCATTGTTTTAGTGGGAAATTTTGAAACTTGAAGGTTAACATTTTCTTTTGGTATTGATTTGTTTCCACCAAGCTGGAAACAACTAACAACTTTCGTCAGAAATAAAATCATTATTAAAATTATCTTCTTGAAAACGTTGACAAAAATCCATTCTTCGCTGCCTTGTAGAGGTGTTATTGCAGGGATTTTTTTTGGTTTCCTTGATATGTTTTGACTTTTCAGTGACATGCGGACGGTTTCTGGACACACTTTTAATTTTCGCTGACTTCCAAATCTGTTAGCCAATTTGCGAAACCCTAGGCGCGGATTCTGTCGTCCTAATGCCACTAAAGCGTTTAAAATTGTTTTCGCGAATCTTACGCGGTCTTTCTGAAACTGGTCCATGCTTCATATCTGTGCCATTCTTTATGCTCTTTATTGTCTCATATACTGCACTTTTTCCGAGTTCAGTCAATTGCACTAATTTTTTAACGTTTCGAACACCTTTTCTATACAAATATTCCACCATTTCTCTCTTTTTTACTTGCGACATTCTTTCTCAAATCTTAAGCCGGTTTACAATCAACAAAATTTGACAGATGGTGTTGCCATGCGATTTTGGTCATAGCCTATCGGCACAACCTACGTGATGGATTACTGTTGTCTTAGAGTGTTACAGAAAAAAACTACATTAAAATTAGAAAAAAAAAATAAAATTCCAGATATATTACATACCGGATGAGGGGAGTGTTTCATTACTGTCGAGAGATTAACTAAATCTTGAAACAATAATAAAAACTTTCCTCCGAGGTTTTTATACTATTTTATTTACAACCACATCATTAATTAAAAAATAGGGACAGTATTTTATTTTGAAAAAAAAAATGTGCGAAAATTTGTCTGTTTTGGCATTTTCATATCTATAGTTACCGGTACCAGTGGTTGTTATGGCGCAAACTTTCAACAGCAAAACAAACAACTAAGTGACAGTTTTGAATTTCTCGTTCGCTTTTTCGAATTTATATAGCATAGAAAGCCAGAATGTTGTCGGAAAGTTCTGATAATGAAGACTACTTTAATATTGGTACTCCACCATAACTTACAGAAGCTGCAACAAGAGCAGAAGCCAATTTACTTCCAGAGAAAAGTTGGGGGCGATATGAAATAGCATTGAAAGTATACGGAAAATGGTGTGCCGAAAGAAATGCTAAGAGTATTGCTTCGGAGACAGTCTTAATGGTATATTTTAGCGACATGGCAAAGCAGAAAAAGCCATCTACTCTTTGGGCTACGTACAGCATGATACGGACAATGGTAGAATTAAGGGAAAAGGCTGACATATCAAAATATCACAAACTCGTCGCTTTTTTAAAACGCCAGAATGTAGGTTTTAAGCCAAAGAAGTCTAGCATTTTTACCTTCAACAAATAAATGTATTAAAATCTTCAATTATTATTGTTCTTGTTTATGCTTCTTGTTGTCTTCTTGTTTATTTTTGTTGATGTTAGATAAGTATGTAATAAAGATATTACAAGAATATTTTTAATTAAATGAGGCGAGAAATAAGAAGACATGCATATCGATGCTTTGTCGAAAAAATTAAGCTCTGCCTGTTTTGCATTAAGATCTGTTTCTAAGGAGCTTAACTTGTCAGTGGCTAGAATTGTTTATTATGCACTTTTTGAGTCGCTTTTTGGTTCTGAACCGTAGTTTGGAGTCTTTGAACTAAAACAACGATACGTAGATTTGGCGAGACGGAAGTGTAACAGTGGCAACGCCGCCCCTGAGTGAGCGCCGTCGGTCGGTCGTCGCGACGGCTGGCATCGCGCCAAAAACTCAGTGGTGGAGCAGGTAGAAAAACAACGTGTCTGCCGTATAAATAGATCGGGTTTTAAAGTAAGTGCTGGCGATTACAACCGATGCTCCTCTTTCACAATAAGTCCGCCGCACATTTGGCATCAAGCAGCCAGCGGGGCCATGAATTTTTCAAATGTCTCCGATACTGCTTCGTGTCCACAGTCTTCGGTTTAAGAGTCTATTTCACTAGTCCGAAAAAGTGGCAAAATAAGCGTTCGGCATTTAACGTTTTATGTAAAACTGGCTAGGTATTTTTACACAAATGAAGAAGGAAATTAAAGATAAAGGATTATATACTATATCCCTATTGCAGCACATTTTTAGACAACTTTATTTTTAAGATTTTTATGGTCAAACATCAACAAACTATTCCTTATGTTTGGACTAAATTTTCTCGGAAATAAAGCCATAATTTAAAATTCCGTTACTATACGGAAATAGATTGAAGTTTTGTGATTACGGTGATATATAATTTATATGGTTTTATAACAAATTGCTCGTTATTTCATAGCAAATGCAGAAGCTCTCCAAACCTTAATCAAGCCTTAATCAAAGCACGTGTGTTTGGAATTTTGGATGTGGCTTAACACGACAGGATCGGGCTAAGCCTAGGCAGATTTCTGAAATATAATATATATTTCATTCGGCCACGCGTTCCCGAAATAAAGGCTCTTGGCAGACAGACGGAAAGACAACAAAGTGATCTTATAATAGTTCCGTTTTTTCCTTTGAACTACGGAACCCTAAAAATGACTCAACCTGTTTATTATAATGAATAATAATTATGAAATAATATTTTTTTGGAAATGTCCAATATTCGATGGTAATTTAGAGCTCGTTAACGTTTCGACGCCTCACCAGTTTCATTCATTAGAATTATCGCGA